GAGGTTCTTGGGATTTCGTAGATAGTAGCGACTTGTCGTACGGAAAGTTTTGGGTCTTTTTTGAGGGCTTTGAGCGCAAGGATTATACGGCTTTCTTTTGGAAGAGATTCCATGTTGTATTGTGGAAGAAAACAGGTGATGAAGTTACGAAGTTGTAGAAGGGGAGAAAGTGGTCCACTCGCTATGCTGGGCCGCTCGCTATGCAAGTACGTTAGTAGTTTATCTTTAATAGAACCTTGTTTCATTCTTCCCTCTTGCCTAGTATTGTGCTCCTTGTACAAGTACCTAAGGTAGGTAGTCTCATGCTAACAAACCTCCTATGACCGCCTTCCCGGCTCAGTCGCCCAGCGGATAAGCGTGCAGCACCTGGCCGTAGTACAGCTCAGAGTCCTTTGAAGCTAAGAACACAAAGCTCGGGGCAATCTCGCTCGGCTGACCGATGCGTCCGATGCCCGACTTGGAACCGAACCCTTCCATCTGTTCGGCAGGACGAGAGGCGGGCTGTAGGGGTGTATGAACGGGTCCAGGCGCCACGGCGTTGACACGGATGCCCTTAGGCATCAGGCTCTTGGCTAAGGACCGCGTGAAGGACACGATGGCGCCCTTAGTGGCTGCGTAGTCGACCATGGAGGCCGTCCCGCGGAAAGCAACCGTTGAGGTCGTGTTGATGATGCTACAAGGTGATGGCCGTTATCAGTGTCTGGTCCTCTAGCGACGAAGAGCTTTCAGGGGCCATGACTTACGATGCGCCCTTTTTCATATGAGGCAGGGCATATTTGGTCATGGCGAACATCTGCAGAATGTTGCTGCGGAAGGTGCTTTCGACGTTGTCAAGATCAATCTCGGCGAAATCTTCGCACATGATCTGTTTAGACGCGTTGTTGACCAGAACGTGAATGACGCCAAAAGCGTCGACGTGCTTCTGGATTGCTTCCCGGCATTTGCTGTAGTCCATGAGGTCGCCGGGGATGAGCAAGCACTTGGTTCCCTCCTTCTCCACCATCTTCTTCGTTTCCTCGGCATCGGTCTGCTCCTCTGGCAAGTAGACGATGCTGACGTCGGCCCCCTCCCGGGCAAAAAGCACAGCGACTGCCCGCCCAATGCCAGAACTGGTCGAATTAGAACGGATACCTTACAATTGATTACGGGAAACTCTGTACTTACTCGCCTCCGGTAATCAATGCCTTGCAGCCCTTCAGCTTTCCAGCCGCTGCGTACTCGTAGGCCTCGCCGGCTCCCTCCAACTTCGTTGACTCGCTGGACGGCTCCATGTTTTTCTCGAGTCTTGAAAACCAGCAGTCAGTGATAACCGCAGACGAAAACTGGTAGCATCAGCGCGATATCCATACCCTGGCAAATTCTGAGATTGGGCCTTCTGTGGGACAGCCTGAAAGCTGCCGCCCTTGCTGAAGTGTTCCGACATGTTGGTTTGCCTTGGACTCGTTACGAACGGAGATGATGTGTATGGTCAAGTTGTCCGTGGCTGGGGAAGTTGTCAAGGAAACCTTCAAAATCGCTTCTGAAAATTTCTTGTGTACGCAACTACACAAACTGGTTCCTGAATTGGATGCGCCTTTGTCATGTGAGAGTCGTGACGGATATGTTAGTTGTTACTGCCAAAGTAAGCGGATCATGACGTCAACATTTCACCTCCCTGCCTCGAGCCTGCCTTGGTACAGCGCCTCCAAGCCCTCTGCGAATTCCATCCAGTGCAGGGGCTCTCAAAAGTTACACATGACGATAGAGATGACAAGCAGACTCGGGTGTTGAACATGGAAATGAACCCAAGGCCAGTACCATGGTTAAACCTCCCCACTCACGGCCACACACTCAACAATTACTTCCTTACCTACCAAGGTACCATATCCCTCAACTCTGGACGGTCAAGGCGTGTTATATTACCCATGGCTGTCCGTCAGCCAATCCATTTAGGCTCTCAATCTGTTATCTACCGGTTTCATCCTCGGTACTTACCTTAGTCTGTTCTCCTGAACTGGATCTGGGACAAAGACGACCATTCAATATTAAATAGGTACCTACCGGGATCGAGAAACGGCAAAAGCAGACAATACTCCAGAATTGTCATGAGATTACTTATACTTACTCTCGTGCTTGCGAGATGCGCCAGGAAGCCATGACAACCGTCGACTGTTATGTCTCCATGCGAAAGCCGAAGTATTTGGGCATGTGACTTTAGGCCAGCATCCAGCGAAAAGCTTTTGCTTTGTCAAGGTTTCACATTGGTCAGCCGTTGACCACTGGGAAGGCGAGCGTCAAGTGTGTTCTCGGTACTGCTGTAGTGTAGTATGGCACGAGTGAGTCAAGGGCTCAAGGCTACTGCGTTCCTGAGTGAAGTTCCCGTCTGTTAAGCGGGGTAGTCGACAGGACAATTTTCACGCACAGAAATCAGGTTGCACTAACAGCAGGTACAATTCTTGTCTCCTGACCTAGTTGGGAAGGAGATAATCTCTTTCATCTCTGTGTTCTGTGTCGAACAGGTTAAGTTTCCTCTGAGATGCTCCGACCACAGTAGGGGAAAGCCCCAGCCTCCATTGTCATTCGTCTCACATATAAATACAATGTTTGACTGCGATGCAAATGCCTGAGATCAGCTCTGCTGCGACCTCGTCTCTTTCAACAACTATCCGGGTTCTCTCTTCAGGTTCGTCTGCACTAGCTAAATCCCGTCTCCCTCCCGGTGGATCTCACCCAGGTACGGAAGTGCCACAGTCACGATGGATGCTAACGAAGAGCGGAATACAGCCACCGTCGGGTTTGTAATTGACCTGAGTACCATCTTCAACCGGACAGATTCTGGCCACTACCTTCCCGCTGCTGGTGCAAGGGAGACCATCTGTCGGCTCCAGAACAGTAGCATCCCCTTTGTGATCACAGCGATGAAAACTAAGGTTACCGAGACAGAAGTTGCGCGATGGCTGTCAGCACAATTGGGTCTTGGGGTCAATCGGGAATGCATTACCCTGCCCCAGTCACCATTCAGAACCTTTGCCAGCACTTACAAAGGCCGCACCATCCTCGCCGTGGGAAGCCAGGAGGAGAGAGTTCGCCGGTTCGCTCTCAATTATGGGTTCGAGCATGTTCTTACATGCAAAGATATTGCTAGCCGGAAACATCGGGGACAAATCGTCTCGGCTATCTTCGTGTTCTGGGTTCCCAATGATTGGGATCGGGATACTCGCACGGTTATCGACATGCTGCTGTCTGACCATGGGCGTGTTGGGACTCGATTCGGAGGTTCTCTTGACGAACGCTTCTTCGATACGCAGCCGACATTGTATATTTGTATGGCTGATACATCTGCAGCGGGACATCAACCCGTTGTCAGGGGTGGCAAGACCTGGTTTGACACCCTCCTGAAGAGATGGAGGGAAGAAACAGGAGGATTACCACTCGAATACTACGCCTGTGGCATGGGGTGCGATGGCCTGACAATCCATACTGCTGACAAGGTGTTGAATGTGTGCAACCAAAACCTGCACCCCAACAACCGCCCTTTCCCTCGGACAATTTACATGATCGGCGCTGACATTGGATTTGGAAGGGATACCGACAAGAACCCTATCGTTCGCTCACCGAGCAGTCGTCGGCGGAGCATCCGCGTTGACGTAAACAGATTGGGGCTGACTGTCCACGACTTCGATCCCCTCCTCAGACCGTGGCACGTGGCTAAAAGCCTTGAGAAGGCAGTTGAGTACGCCCTACTCGAGGAGTACTGGGACTGCATCGAAGCTGGACTGACACCACTGTTCCCGAAGCCTGAGAGTGCAGAGACATCGCTCTTGTGATTGCTAATCATGTAGGTAGCTACCATTTCTCTCCTGAGAAGCCTAACGCAATGCATGTTATCCCGGAATATATCACCACATCTCAGATGACGAACTGTAACAGTAGATGTTAGTAGTGTAAAACATTGAAGTCGACGTCCAGTTCAAGTTAGGGGTGCCACACACGTAGTCTATTTGATCAAGACGGAACTTAGGTATCCTGTAATATGTATCATGATGTACATTCAGCAAAAGGTCAAAAGTGAGGAAGAAAATCTGTCCATTCCGGCGTCTCATACAACTCGACCGGCGCACTCCGCAAGCTCACAAACGCCTCAACAACCAGAAACACCCTCGCTATCACGAACGTCCCAAGCAGGAAATACACCACCCCCGTCTTCACCCTCTCTCGCCTCCCTACACCCCCTTTCCCGCCCCCCATCCTGACCCCTGGCACCCCGCCCGAAACCCACACATCAAAACCCGGGCAGAACTGACGTGCGGCAAAGAAGCCCCAAAGCACGATCCCAGACACGCCAATAACGCCCGCCGAGACGAGCCACAAGACCCTTTCCAACCCCGTCGGGAACAACGCTTCATGATTCGCCTCCGAATTCGACGGAACGGTGGTCGTGACCACATGCAGAGCGCCGTACCCGGCCGCGGCCAGCGCCAGGACCGACCGCAGTCGGTCGCGGTGCAGGTTGACCTGCCCCAGGGACAGGTTGTGCAGCGAGGGGAGGTTGGGCAGGCGTGGCGACACGACGTAGTCGGTCTCGCCCAGGAAATGGCCTAGTTGTGATACGAATGTGAAGTAGTATGCTTTATATGCGGGACGTGATGTGCATGCAGCGCGAAGGCGGTCTGTCGCGCGCGAGGCTGCTTGGAGGGTTGATGTCGAGAGCCGCGGTTGATTAGGGCCGGGTTGTTGTTCTGCGGTGGTGCTTGGGTTTAAGGAGCCGGGGGTGGAAGTGGACTTGGAGGCGTCTGGGAAGACGCGTCGGCAGTATCGGCTGTGCCGCAGGCTCATGCCGGTGTAGGGGGGAGTGTTGTAGGTAGAGCAGCTCGCGGAGATTGGCGGGGAGTTGAGGTCGAAGTTGTAACGGAATGCCTTGTTCTTAGCTGCGGCGTGTGGGTTTTCGGTGCCTTGGCCCGGGTCCGGTCCTAACCACACTTCAGGGAAGCCGAGGAAGTGAGACGGGTTCCGGGTGCCTGGGGAACCGATGGAGAGATACGTTGTGAGTTGAGACCTTGTCGCTTCTGTCCCTTCCCCGGCCACGCTCTCCCTGTCCGTGGGCGGCTTGCAGAGTCTCTCATCGTCATCGTTTGCTACATGAATGAAACATCGAATATCCGTGATGCCGTCGACAGAGCTCATGCTGGAACACAGATGCATCAGACAGAGGAGGTCCTTATCGTCTTCGTCGTTCAGGAACGTCGGCACCTGAACGTCGAGTGGCTTGTTCCACCACAGGAGATAGATGACCAAGGCGCAGGCAACATGTCCACAGGTGTTGATCTCCAGCAAGGAGATGGGATAGTGCTTGATGGCCCTCCCCAGGACCTGAATTACCATCCACCCGGCTTGGATGCAGATAATGCTCTTGGCCATCCAGTCGGCCTTGCTCTTGTCTTCGATCTGAGGCTGGTCAATCTGCGGCAACCGACCAAGAAACGAGAGTAATCGGATGCCCTCAGGTGTGACGGTAACCGTCTTCTCAACCCCAGGCACATTCGCAGCGAAACCTCCCATGGCAGCGTAGAAACACTGCGTCATGTCCCAGGTGTGAGTGCTTTGGCCGCGGGATTTACTCTCGGCGTCCCCGTCCTCCTGCCGCGCCTTTGCATCGGCTTGGATCTCTCGCTTCAGCCACGAAGCTACAATGAACTGGGCGGCAGCTGTGGCAACAACCACTTCAGGGGCAAACACGCCGTAGAGGACCCATTTGGCTTGTTCGATAAAGCGCCACCGCAACGGTCGATATAGAGGGGGAACATTGAGGTGCAGCGCCGACCAGACACAGAGGGTGAGTGTCAGAACACAGGAAAAGATCAAGGAGAAAGTTCCACGGCCATTAGGCTCGGCCTGCCAGCCAGTTGTGACACCCTGCGGCGGCTGTTGGTGTTCCGAGCCCCGAGACTCGGTAGAGTTTGTTGTAGAATGGTTCGACGCCCCCAAAGCTGGCAACAGTATGGCTAGCAAGGAGGCAGAAACCAGGCCAGGTTTCATGGATCAGGGATTGTCATCAAAATTCAGACCGGGAATGAAAACAGAGTGGACGGGGTTCAGTGCCAGGTTAACAGGCAGTCCCACAGCTTTGGGAATTGGGACCATATTGAGGTATTAGATCTGGATCGTGGGAGAAAAATGAATGGAAGAAGCTAATGCAAGTGATAACAGCTACAGGTACAGCTGCAGCTGACTGGCCAGGCATTCCCTAAGGCGGCCTCAATAGTGTGTGAGGTGTGCATCGCAAGGCTGTCTAGATCCAACACTGCCACAGAGGTGTGGGCACTACTAGAAAAGTGCTACCCTACCAACAGGAACACACGGTTAAGCGTGTCTTATCATTCGCCAAGCAAGATTCAAACACGGAGAGCGGTGTTTCTGTTCTTGCTGTGTGCGCCGTTCAGCCTGTGTTGGGAGGAAAACTGCCTTACCCCTAGGCCTGAAGCGGCAACTCGCACTCGAGATGATGCATGGGGTATTTGAAATGATACCTAGGCATCACAGAGTGAGGTTCAGGCTCTTCAGACCCAAGAGTCCGGCAACCAGAAAAATTGTGCTGAGGGCGCTCCCAGCCTCGATGTCCCGGAGCAATCCCGGACACCAGGCATCACCGGCCAGGGGCAGTAGGTTTGCCAACACCATCCACCGCCCGACAAAGACGGCGAACTGGAGAGAAACCCACAGCAAGTAACCATAAACGCCGACAAGTCTCAGCCTGGGATGCTCGGACGATCGAAACCATTTGGCGTACCACCCCACTGCCGGGAACCGCCCGAACCTTTTTTCCTTGCTGCTGCATTTCTTCCACACCATCTCCCAGATGGCGAGGAACGGGCTTGTGAATATCATGAGAAAGAAGCATACCCACGTCAGCCAAATCGCAAACCCCAGCTTGACCAGGCTCCAGGTTTTGGTGCAGCATCCAACCAACACCATGGTTGGCCACAGCCCCGCCAGGAAGTACGCGGCAACGAAGAGCGCTCCGGGCAGCGTCGCGACAAACAGTCCACCATACACGGTCGGCAGCTGCGGCGGTGGCAACGATCCGGCGGTGACAATGCTGCCGAGGCTTGGGACTACCGCGGGGCCCTTCCAGATGTCGATCCGCAGGTTGAAGGCGAAAAAGGTGAGCATCGTCACAACACCATCCATGAAGAGATACATCAAGCCCCAGCCGCGCGACCCCCAGACGCCGCTGATAAAGGCGGCCAGGGCGAAGCCGGTGGGCCGTAGGAACGGCAGCAAGTAGGGCCCCATTGAAAAGCCCGGGGCCGGAGACATGGCGTTGAGAAGGAACCCCTCGGCAATGGGTTTGCAGAACCCGGTGAGCACCATCCCCCACATGCTAACAAAGGAGAAGCTCGGCGGGGGCTCGCCCTTGCGCCGCGCGAGGTAGATGGTTCCGATGGCGTGGCAGACGAGGGCGAGGATGTCAAAGGTGATGGAGATGAAGATGGACGCGAGGTCCTCGCACTGGGATTGGCCGCCCCAAGTGTAGGCGTAGTAGGGGAGCCAAGGGAGCTTGGCGATTTCGGCGTCGACGCAACCCGCAACTTGGTCCTTGGGTTTCTGGGCCGTGCATCGCATGTACTGTAATGGGCTGTGCTCGTCGGTAGTCAGCGACCCCTGACGTGAAGTGGATGCCCTCGGCCAGGAAAAAGAGAGGGGGGGGGGGGGGGGGGGGGGGGTAAGGCAGGGGCAAATGAGGGACAACCCACGTTTGCTCCAAAACCAGGATTGGCACGTCAACAAGGTCCAATCTCGAGTTTTGCCACGGCTTATGGTCCTCTGGCGGTTTGGGGCATGCAGACTCCTCCACATAGCGGCGGGTGGCCGGCTTGAAAATCTTGGGTTATTGTGTGCACACACGGTCAGTCAATTGTTTATGGCGAAGGCATTGTACCTCGAATGAACGAATGTCTGACGAGATGGATCCACTCACTGGCAGAAATTCTGGATAGCGGTCCTCTGGGTCGAGCTCGACGGCGACCCTGGGTCCCAGCTGTGGCTCAGGACTGGTTCTGCAGGGAAAGGCTTGGTAGAGGCTTTCAGTGTCTCAGCTTGTATTCATCTAATAGTGCACTGTTGCAAGTTACTTACCTTTTTGTCGTGCAGTTCAGGAGCTGTCCGAGGATTTTCCTCCGTGTCCATGAGTCCAGGGTCGCGCTGGGCCGGGTCTGGATTGCGTCGATATAGTCGTGGCACAGCGGTTTTAGGTCCTGCGGAGCGTCCCCGATGGTCAGCCCATGACAACCTACTAGGTGCGGTACGCCGGCGACGGAGAAGGGCCTTTTCACCGAGTAAAAGTATTCGGCACCATGTCTGGGGTTGGTGGTGTTGGTGTTCGCGGTCACGTTAGCGCCGGCACTGGAGATAGTTGCATTCGAGGTGAGCCACCTTGGGAGATGTTGCGAGTTAACATGGTGAAAAGAGTCATGAAGAAGATGACGATGATGAACTTGGCTGGCTACAGCCGCAGCAGAAAGGCCAAGGACTGCAAGTAGCCAAAGCCAACAGAGACAGGATTGCAGTGAAGAAGCAGCCATGGCATCCAGTCAACATGATCCCAAGGACTGTGCCTGGCCAGATACTACTCTCGCGTAGGACGTTTCCAGGAGCAGGGCCGGTGCCAGGTGGAACTTGAAGTCTCTTAAAGACTGACTCGAGCACAGGGATTGAAGGCATCTTCTCTCTGGTAGACGACACTTCTAGATCTTCCCGGTTTGCTTTTTATTATCGCGGCTTGCATGATTATATTTTGACAAGGCGCCCGCTCTCCCCGGGCCAGGGGACTGATCGTGAGCCCAGCCAGGCTGGCCATGCCTCAGCCTTCGGGTTTAGGCGAGGTTAATCTTATTCCAGCCTCAGGTTTCATAACCCAACAACGGATGCGACGCCTCTCCGACACCAGCGTACCGAGTATATATCTGCTGGATAACCGCCGGAAGGGTCGGAAAGGTCCTCAGCTCTGCACAGGTCAGTCACGGTGCAAGCCACCGTTCGCCGCCGCCGTTCAGGATCTGCAGGCCAAGAGAACACCAGAGATTGTGGCGTTTATGGGGAGGCTCTAAGCAGGTAAAACCTGTGTTCCCTAGGAGGTAGGTATCCGTAGGTAAGGTCATCATTGTTGTATGTTCGGGTGGATCACGATTCACGATGGGAAGTCGGGACTAGGGAAAGTTGGGAAATGGAAAATGGAAATGATTTTGGGGTCTACCTACCTTAATCTTGGGGTTTAAAGCCCTGCCATCTCAGGGTTAGGGTTACCCTGCCCCAGCTTGAAGTCTGAAAGCTGAAACGAAACCTCAAAGCTGATCTCGCCTGGAGAGTGGAGACTGGACGAAGTCTCACTCTCTCAACAATCAAGAGTAATACACAATTGCCTGAGCCGGCTCACCATATTATATATATTGAGCTTACCTTTGACTCTCCCCTGAAATAAGGCAAGCGGCTCACCCTGTATAGTTCATCACCGCCTTGGATCATCTTGTTGAATCTTCGTTGTTTCCCCCTAGCTAGCAGTAATGGCTTGCCGTCCCGTTTACCTTTTCGTGTCCGGGCGAACGTCCAAAGCACGCGGTCACTTCGCAATCTTCATTCCCAATGCCTCAGACGTGGAGAAAGCCCCTTCCAAAACCGAGCCCTGCACGGGAACCGTTATCCACGTCGTTGGCAACCCGATGATCGGTTTTTCTCACGAGTTCAAACGCAATTACAACACGTCAGACGACTTGAAGTCGCTGGTAAGGGTGGTTCTCCTGGGACACATCCAGGAATCGCTTCATGTCGATCCTAGCTCAGGCACCTTCTCCACCGACGTCCTCCCCCTTGGGCCTCTCGACGCGGCAGCTCTTCAGGTGCCTGTACCTGGCAGGAGCGATGTGAGAGCTCCTGTTGATGGTGTAAGTGTTTTGGTTTGGTATCATGGCGTTTCTTGCTGATGTAACCGTCTTTTCAGGTGGTCAACAAACGCTGCCAGGAGTGGACCATGGAGTATGTCCAGTATCTGGTCTCGCTGGGGTACTTGGACAGCAGCGCGGTTCAACTGGTCCAGGATCAACGTGACCCTCCAACTCACGGCGTCATGCTTCGTCATGAGTGACGGTGACAATGGCTGGACGCCCACAACTTGACTTGCTTGCCGTAAGGATGCGCCGCCTGCCATGTACGCCGCATGAACTGTGTTTGAACGGTCCTGGTTGGGTACTGGCATATTTCTGAAGCTGAACTTGCTCTGTGTAAGTTACTGTCGAGTGGTTAACGCCACTAGGTGGCCAAGAACACGACGCGCTTACCGCGCAGCATGACGATCTTTGGGCGGGTTGAGCAGGAGCACCTGGGTGGTGCCGGGCAATAACGTGAAGGTACCTACCGTACCGTACTGTCTGGAGGGCAGCAGTCACATGCTGGTTCCAGGTTCCGCACCATCGAACACAGCTCTGCAGCAGTTCAATAAAATGAGTCGCTGGGGTTACTGTAAGTCTCTGCCAATTTGGTCATCTACGATTGCGCGGCTGTACACTGATGTCTTTACGGGTCTTTTCGAGGGCAACAACGACCTTGATCGCGCATACCAACTGGCTAAGGAGATCGCTGGTACCCAAAAGGGACCCGAGTACGAGGTAGTCTGCCAAGATGGCATTGAAGTTGAGGGAGCCAGCGCAGCTTTGTCACGCCTCCGTGAGAAGCTCGACGCTGGTCTCTGCGATGAGCTCCTAAAGAAGTATCGCAATTTAGCGACTACCTCCAAGAGTGACTGGGACGAGTACCAACTGATAATCCTGGCTGCACTCATCATGACAACTGGTGCGAAGATCAAAGACGATGACATGCAACATCTTCGTCAGCTGGCTTCGGTGGCCAACTCTAACGAGGGCTTCACCATGCCACTATTCGACTCCGCCTTTCGTGGTCCAGGACAGCGACAGTTTCTCGCCGCGCTTAACAACTACAAACCAGGAACGCCATGGGATTTCGGGCTCCCCAGTTGCCATGCCTGCGAAAGACTAAGCAAGACAGGAACAAACCACCCGTGAAGTGCAGCGGATGCGAGACAGCTTGGTTCTGTGACAAGGTTAGGGCATCGAGGCGGCGTCGTCAGGATGAAAATGCTAACGTATGCCTCCACAGGATTGCTAAAGGAGCCTCTGGAACGTTCACAAGCACAACTGCGGTGATAAGACGGGTGGGGCTGGCTTCCATGGGCTTAATGTTTAGCAATGCGGACACAGCCGTCACCGTGGAAGTTTCGAGCCTGAGACATGGGGTCCGGCTCCCATTCTACCGCGAAGTGCCCAAGTATTGGAGTTTTGGAGGTCATTGACACTTATGGAGAAGAACATTAGTGGGAATTTGAGATCACAGGAGCATGAAAGTTAGTGGTTTTGTGTCTCGAGGGTAACGAGGGGAAGACCAGAGCTAGTGTAAGTGCACAGAAGGAGATCCGCTGTCATCTTCCAGATTCTTTTGCCACAAACCATTTGGGACCCCAGAAGGTTCGATCCCTTCGCATAGTCGTCCCTTATTCGGCATCCAAAAGGGTTTTTCTTATCAAGAGTGCTTAAGGGGGTGGGTGGCGTGTGAATGCCAGTTACAGCAGTGATTAAAGTTAAGTACAGAAACAAAGTAGGTACCGTACTCAGTCTCGACATGTCTCCTGTAAAAGCTGCAGTAGGCAAGCGCCTGGCTAGGTAGCCAACCAAAACTTACCCGCACCTTAATGCAGAAAAGCCAACCTACCAAATTCCTAAGGTAGCACGCCACTGCACGAAGTTCACCTTTCCAACAGGGGTTTGATGAGCCCTCCAGTCAAGCCAGGCTCCTCGCGATTCATCAAACCCTCCTCGATTCAAGTCAACTTCGATGAGTCCCATGGCACTGGCCATGCCTCCCTGCAATTGCATCTCCAGGCCAGGAGCTGAAGAACGGCCTCGAGACATCGAGACAGTTTTCATGGATGATGTAGACCATCTCGCGCGTTTCGTTGATTACCCAGCATCAGAAAGTGGGCCACTCTTCCGTTCAATGTTCCCTCGTCCGGACATCGACTTCTCAGAGCAACAAAAGGCTGAGATCATTGAATGGCACGCCGACGGCATCAAGGAAGCCATCACAGGCGGTCGAACGCACCTACGGAAGATTCGCCACAGTGATGGAATCGTTGTTGGCTTGGCCGGATGGGTTCTGGAACGATGCCCAAAGGAGCAAGCCACCTCAAACAAAAACAAGACAACCACAGAAATAGCAAAGGTGGGCGGCAAGCAGAAGTTCAAGAACTGGACTGGCTCCCTGGAGCGTTAGATCTGTCTGCGTGGTTAGAAGTATCGGCAGCCTTGAAAAAAGAGCGGCAAAGGGCCATTGGGCATCTGGACATTGTATGCCGTACGTTGCAGCTTGCACCGGGATACGTGACGCTATTTGACTCGCTTGCTAATATGCCACAGGAATAACGATCATGTCCGTTTGTCCGGAATACCAACGCCAAGGACTCGGCTCTATTCTGATGCAGCACATATGTGAAGATATGGATCGTCTTGGACGGCATGGCTACGTCCTGGCCTCACCAGTTGGTGTGAAATTGTACTCCAAGTTCGGCTTTGAAGCTGTTGGCCAAGTCGACACGCCTTATGGTCCTATAACAAGCATGCTACGCGGGCGCCAACCACGTCCCTCCTTGCGGGCTTGAACGGGACGGTCCTTCCCAGTCACAGACCATGGTGCATATTGCATCACATGCGGCGTTACAGAATCGAAGTGACTTGGTTGGGAGCGAACGGACGAGCAGGGCAATCCATGTATCTCTAGGTACACAACTAAGGGGGAGTGTACGGCCATGATATAAAGGCAAATGGGTATGGTGATCAGTTTATCACGAACCCTTGCAATATCATGTACCCCGGCCTGCAACTTGACTTGATCATCCTCTTTGTGCGCCGGGAATGGTGAATGGATTCATGTGCCATCTCGCACAACAACCCTTCTTTCTTCCCAGGGCCAAAGGACTTATAATTCCTAAGACTACCTTAGGTAACGTCCATGAGGGATTGGATGTGATTAATTATTGAAATCTAATCCGTTCGATCATTCCTCCAAGCATGGCGTGCACGGACCATATTTACTCTGGAAAAAGGGGCTTCTCCCTGCACCCCCTTTACCCCTTTTCTGTCACAGTTGATCCAGTGAAGCCACGAAGTTAGAGTATCTCAAGTCACGGTTACAAATGTCTTGCTCCGTGGGCATGAACAGGCAGATATCTACCTATATAGGCAAAGCAACGGGATACTGGACCCAACCAATGTTTAGATTCGCGCTCAGGATGATAGTTCGATGCCATGGTCAAAGAATCTCATCGACGGCACCCGGCCGGATCCCCTCGTCCTGTCGACCGCTTCGTATCCTCACCCTCGTCTCTTCATACCAAAATCAGCCAGCTTGTCGAGTTTAGCACTGTTCGCTCCCTTTGAGTTTAGTAATCGGTCCAAGCCGGACGGTTTGGCGGTCTGAGCTCCCGACTCGAAGGGGGGGAGAGGGTCTGCGCCCTAAGTTCACTTGAATTTCTTGCTCACTGACCCGCTCCATGAAACCCTCGGCAGAAATCAAAGCAGTTCAGTCGATTTCCTCTCTTCTCGCTGAAGTCTCTCACTTCAGAACATTCAGACGACCCGAATAAGGACCATCTTGACGTTAGGTACGTGTTGCAGCTATTTTGACGCATCTCGCATCAATACATCGGAAATCTCGAGCAGAAAACGATGTATCCAGACGCCTGTGTGGCTACTTGCCATCAAAGATGCCGTGTGAACCGTAAAGGCAGCCGAGTGCCGGTGTTGTCCTGTTCGCTCGAGGCCCCAACAAGCCATCCGTCGGGCATGAGAGGAACCTCAACTGACAGCATGGATAGAGCAGACAACTTCAGCCCTTCCAAAATGACGACAAACGCACCCACTGCCGAAGATCTCGCAGCAGATGCAGGCCCTGCGTCTTCTGACCCTTACGATGGCGTGGTCAGCGGTGAGCTTTTCTGCGGCCTTGGGAGGCACAATCAACGGTGAAGTCCAGCCCCTCAACTGTGTTGCTGACATTCCGGAAGGTGAGCATCCGATGCAAATGAGAACAAGAAGTGGGGGCAGAGAGCTGCAGGAGAATCGTCATGCTGATAAAGATCTGACAAAGACGAGAACATCCAAGCTGCCAGAGAGGACAATTGTGACGAATCGGTCTTTGTCAACGATGATGCACCACATGAAATCAAGGTTGATGTCTCTGAAGCAAACACCGACATGCCTCCGGCCAACACCATGGCGGGTAAAGCCATGGTCGTCTCATCGACTGTTGGTAATGGCAGCCAGGGCAGCGCCAGCGATTCGGACGACATTCGCTATCCCCCTCGGGACCATCCAATCTGGGGTCTTGAGGGAATCATGCACGGATTGAGATTGAAGCGGGGAAAACATTCAGGCCCAGTCTATATGATTGACGAGCGATAGTTAGACGAGAAGCGCAAAGCCGACGTTTACGGCGACAACGGGCTGGCAGTGGGGGATTGGTGGCCGCTGCAGCACGCCGCGTGGTTCCACGGGGCGCACGGCCACACCATGCAGGGCATCTACGGCTCTGTCAAGACCGGTGCCTACTCGATCGTCGTATCGGGCAAGGCCACAGCGTATGCCGGCGATATGGATGATGACCGCGGCGAGGTGCTCCTCTACAGCGCCGACGGCAGCATCAAACACCGCGACCCGCTCCATTTGGCCGACCCCAGCTGGGGAACCAAGTGCCTGCAGGCGTCGCTGCGCACTGGGAATCCGGTCCGCGTCCTTCGCAGCGCGGGACCCAAGAAGGCGCGGGACCCAAGAAGGCGCTCGCCCCCTGCGTCGGGATTTGCTATGACGGCCTGTATCGCGTAACCAAAGAAATCAGGTCGAAAAACAAACATAACGGCCTGTATCGACGGCTCTAGATTCTAGAGAAGGGGTTGTTGCTAAGTTTCTCTTCCTCTTCAGTCTTCACCATAAAACCGTTCTATTGCTACTGGTAGTATGCATTCCTCATAGTGTGACTGGACCCTCTGTGTGTAAAAGCCCTGCTCAACTCATCCTTGGGACCTTTGAGAATACTGGCCTGTAGTATATGACTCAAGTCCGCTTTTCTACTTTCACCCCCCCTGGGTTGTATGATTGGTGAAGTGGAACATGAAGGGCTCAAATAGTACCCCAGTACAACCCTTTCCTAACATCCCGAATAGTACCCCAGTACAACCCTTTCCTAACATCCCGAATAGTACCCCAGTACAACCCTTTCCTAACATCCCGAGTTCGAATCCTCCTCAACACCCCATAGAAAATAAGATTCGCCGCGAAGCCTCCAGCTACAGGCAAGGTCATCTTCCACCTCAACAAGAGCAGTGAAAATCGAATTGCAGGGTGGAAGAAATGGAGCCAAGGCAAACGGGAAGCGGTCCTTGAGCACCCAAGGACAACGACTGACTAAACGAATACGGTGAGGAGAGTGAGCTCGATCATGGGCCCGCCACATTACCTAGGTAGTCAGAGTTGCCTTGGCTCTTCTCCTCTTCCCCACGAGGTGCCGGGAAATGCCTAAGAACCACTTTGAGAACACCGTATCTGCCATCCCAGGCAAGAACGTGAGCGCGGTGAATACGCTCTGCACCTGCTCAAGGAGGACCAGTCAGAGCCCTACCTTTCCTTCATACCGTGACCTTATAGCGATTGATCGTCCAACACAACACAATCCCCTTCCCTCATCATCGGGGGCTGGCAGGACTACTCAGTCGACAATGAGATGAAGGACATTGAGACCCGAAACAAGATAACTGACGGTAACACTCTCCGTTCCTGTCAACCTTTGGACTCCTTCCGGACTGTAGCGACTGTGTTACTAACAGATTGCCCTCTAAGTCCCCCCAAAACCACCGTGACCTTAGTTAGATATACGGCTGCAAACTCGGCAGCACCCTCTGGTACGCCACACCACTCGGAGGCTCAATCGAGTACATGTAATTCCCCCACCACGGGCCGCCGCCCCACCAGAGCCAGCCCGTCCAGACGTCCGAGTTGGCCGCCATGTACGAGAGCATGCCCGTGACGGCAGCGATGCACTGCGCGTTGGCGCCGCCGGCCGTCTCGCCCAGGATGCCCTTCTTTTTGTTGGCCTTGAGCCACGCCGTCGCCTCACGGATGCGTTCCTCGCCAGTGGTCGACGACACGCACGTCTCCGAGGTGCCCGACCCGTCGCGGTCCAGGTACTGGTGCATCTCGTAGATGAGCTTGTCGCCTCCGGCAGGGTCCTTGAGATTGAGAAGGTTGGCGCCGTTGCCGCTTGAGACCTGGACCAAAGAGTCTGGGTTAGCATGTCAAGGAGCCTTGCGTCTACTACCTAAGCTGACATGGCATAAACATGAGGTAGGTAGCTGACGTACCCAGGTCCATGCCCCCGTCCATGAATTGCCCTCAATGAAGATGTATTGCGACGTAGCCCCTGCCGCGCGGATGCCGTCGATAGCGGCCTGGTTGAGCCGGAGGACAAGGGAGTTATCCATGTCGTGGTACTCGTTGTTGGTGTCAAAAATGACCTTGTCGTTGTTGGCAAAGAGCTTTGCAGTTGTTGTCCACCACGCCTTGAAGCCTTCGACATCTGTGATGACCTGCTCGTAGTAGCGCCCTACACGGCATCACTTTCGTCAGCTTTCTGGTGATGGGGAACTGGGCTATTACGTTCAAAGCGTACCAAAATTGTGTGGATCAAGGACCGCGTAAGCCCCCTTGCTTGTGATATACCCGACAATCTGAGGCGTGGTCAGCTTCCATTGCTGCTACACCAATGAAGCTGGAGAATTCATTGACTTGTTGCGCATACATCTGTGAGGCCCTGGGAGTACGTGGTGTTGATAGTGCCAGTCATCTTGTTGGGGATAAGCCGTTCCCTGCCAGCGAATGTCACGGTTAGCTTCTCAAAGCTCGTTGATTCCTGCCAGGAGGAAGGTGACAGATGGGCAACCCTACATCATGAAGGCTACACGGAAAGTGTTCATGCCCTTGCCCATCAAAGTCTGCCAGGTGATACACCTATTAGGACCATTCGTCACTCTTCTTGACAGGCTTCCTCACTCACATCAATGCTCGACCGCACCGGCCAGGTGTAGTGCTTGCCAAGTTGGCCAGGAAGTGTGTCCTTGCCGAACTCCGCACCCGACTGATTGACGCCGACGAATTGGAATTTGCTTGCTCGCTTGGTCGTCTTGGACGTTGGAGTTGGCGCATCACAGGCCGGAGCTGCGAGCACCAAACCAGCGCTAGCAGCACCGAGCAATAGGTTGAGGAATTTCATGGTCTCTTCGGTTGTCGAGTTCCACCGTCCGAACCGGATCCTATGTGGGATTAACAGCTGGGTGCCTTCAACCCATGTCCTCCAAGTTTCAAATCCCCTTTATAATATACGGTATCTCCTCCTGTTCTAATAAGCCGCATCGTTGAAGGCATCTTGACAACCCGGAAATGCCTGTTCCGCCCTCGTCACCCGGCTATAAGAGGGTTGATTATTAAGGACATGGGGCCATTGCAGAACAAAAGCCCATAACCTTACAGATATCGTAATCGGTATGCCTGGGGGGAATTCACTGCGTGCTGTTAAGACCAATAATCCAGTGTAACACCCCGGTTCGACCGCAATGTCATCGGTGGGGCAAGAGAACATGAGTGAACAGCCGTGAGGTTGAGAGGCCCGGCTCTGAAGGACGTCGTCAACATGCTCCCAAATGGGGTCGCTTCCTCCGCCCCCCTGAAATCAGCCGGAGGTGGAGTACTGAAAGCTCGCTGCGGCGGGCAAGAAAGGACTGAGCCACGGCAGCTGTGGCTGCAGTGTAGCAGTTGGCAGCGGGAGACCTCCATGCCGCAAGAAGGGACGCCTAAAGCTGGTAAGTGAGAGGCTGTGAAGAAGGGACCTTCTTGAGCAGGCATCAATCGCATCTTCCAAATCTGCTAAAACGGTGAACCGCTCGTTGGCAAGCGTATCCGTCAACTTGCTCCTTCACTCTAGAGAGCATACACTATAGCAACCAGCTGTCAGTGGCTGGCAACTCGACGAAAGGTGTGAAAGCAATGCGCTAATCATGTGAAGTAGAAGCAAAGGCAACACTAAGCCAACATTGCAACCCATATCAACCCTCATTTCCCACCAGGACGCCGTGGCTATGCAATCTTTCTGTGTGTAACTTTATACCGAGCCCCTTGCTTCTCTCGTCGAAATGTTACGCCCGGTCTTCCATAGCAGCAGGGCCACCAGCCCCAACAAAAACCCCAAACCTGTCAAGCAATTGGATCATGCTTTGAAGGGTAGCTTTCCTGTCCGCCACTGCCCGGCAAAGCGAAATGCGGCAAGTAACGACCTTGAATCAACGCTGATGTCCCGGCCGCAGGTCGCACACCTGGAAATCGTACTCGTCCGACTGGACGACATGGCTAGCTTCAACATAAAGATTATCAACATGATGCTCGTGAAAGACATCGCCTTTCTGGCACCCCAAGACGGCAGGGAGCCCTGGGGGGTTTGTGAGGCGGAATATCCCCCATCTAGAGAACTACGTTAGATCACGAGGACCGATAGCACCATGCAGATATTGTGGGGCAATATCACTTACGAAGGCTCATGTCGCGGGGCGCACACGATGGCGATACTCTCGGGGAGGAGGGCCTGGTTCGAGCAGTGCGTGTGCAGGTCGCGCGAGCTCATGAAGCATGTTTGGGTCGGGTGAGTGTGGATCCAGCCAATGGTGACCAGCTCCTTCTCGATGCAGAAGTTAGTAATGGCCGCCTCGTTCACCGTCTCGCATGTGTCCGGGGTGCCTTTCTGCTCCGGAATCACGAGGTGCGTAATGACGAATGCGTTACTAACAATCGCTCCGCATAGCAGCCCGCATGTTTCGATCCCTAGTATGCGTGTGTTATCCTCGGCAATGTCCAAGAATTTTTGACGCAACCCTGTAGGCAGGAAGATCGCCCGGAGAGGATCGCCATTCTCGAGGCGGGCGGCCGGTTCGATGATGTCAATACTCTGCTTCGCAGCGGGTTCTGCGGCTACCTTGTGTGGTAGGGCAGGTCCGAGTTCCTCGTCGAGTCGGTAGCGTGGGGGCGGGCTAGATCTGAATGGCTCCTTCCCAGGTCTGGGGGGCGGTCTAATTGACTTGACTCGTTCAGGAAAACTCTCCTTCGGTGGCCGCGGCGGTTGGAATCTTGAACTCTCATCCCGCGCTGGGGAAGGCGAAGGCTCGTAAACCTCATACCGCAGCGTTGATGCTTTGATGATGGAAGGGTAATAATACGTGGCCGGTTGTACCGAATCATCGCTGCGATAATCGTCACGTTTATGGTCTCCGACCCGGTCTAGTTGCCGACGGGTTTCTTCCATCTGCCTCCTGAGTTCGTCATCGTTCATGTCGTGAGGACTGAACCGCCAGCTGGGCTTCCCGCTCGGCTCACGTTGATGGTCAAGGCTGCGCTGGACGCCATTGTCGTCCTCGAGGAGCCCGGTTTCGGGCGTGCGTCTGCGCATCTCCCTTTTAGCCAAATCCACGGCGAGGTCTTGGTAATCCCTGGCATTGATAATATTCCTGTGTGGGCCATAACTCCAGGAGAACGCTGAGTCGTTAGCCGCATGCTTTGTGTATGATGACGGCGGCCGGAGGGGTTCTCTATCTGCATCCCTCCGAGTTGTTTGGCGCTCCAGCCACTGGTCGTATGTCTTGTCGATCTCCGGCCGTAGGCGCTCAAGAACATCTATGACGCGGGGAATCCGTTTCTGGTGCGGCCTGAGGGATCTCCTTGCATCGGGCTCTTTCGCTTCGGGATGATTGGGGAGATTTTCGAGAACGAGAACCGAGTATCGAAAGAGAATCATATAGGCTGAAGCAAAATTTGCTTCCCGGAGATAGACTTGGCCCTGTGTGTAGGAGCTTGGTTAGCTGCGAAGCCAACTGCCGGTGAATGGTAAGGCACGGCGAACCTCATGATAGCATGTCTCAGCGGCCCGAACCCAGTACTTGAAACCAATGCGAGGGTTCCAGTTGAATTCTTTCGCTATGGTTGTCAGCTCCTTGGCACTCATGGGCCTGGTGACCTCAATCGAGTTCAGGGAGTTGAGGGAGTTCATCGTGGAGAACAATGCGAAAGACCATGGATTCGGGAGCTGGGAGAGACAGCACTGCTTTGCGGCAGCTCACTATTACCAAGATGTAACTGTTGACGTGCCCGAAATCATCGTCCGTTGTCGTCGGTGATAAGATTCACGGAATCTGGAGTGTTGACGGGAGGTTTTGAGAAGCAGTCGTCAGCCGAGGTCGCTACTGTAGGACGTGCTGTAGGAAGCTTCTGGTCTAGGTACATAAGGTACACTAATAAGGCCCAGTTGGCGTTGCTGGCAGCCTGGCATGCGTGAACTCGACCCCACCATCAGCCTTGCCGGAAACGGTGAGGCAGTGATGTGCAGCGGGGTAGGTGAAGCGGAGCTGCTGAATGAAAGAGACAATGAAATCTTGCCCCGCTTGCTTCCCTCGTCTGCAGGGTGGAGTCTGGAGCCCAAGCTCCCGGCTGCCCTGCAGCCCGTTGCCACTGCCCGCAAAATAATGCCCAGTAACAATGACCAATGTTTTAATGGTTACGGAGTGCTCAGTATACCCAAGTCAACTCTTCGCCGATCACGATGGATTTGAGTATTGAACACCTCCGTACTTCTTGCAGTATCGTATCGGATGGCAATTTGATTGCTCTATGCACCTAATTCTCAGCATTTGTGGCCCTCAGACCATCCCCTGCGCGGATTATCCGCCTTGAGCCTCAGAAGACAAGGCAATGGCGAAACCAACATAGCACGACGACATCGCGGTGCATATCAGATTTCTGACCAGACTGGACAATGTGTTGGCATCTATCTTCCAAACTCGGTGGCTAACGTTTAGTAAAATTTCGCGTTCCACGGTCTCCAGCCCTTGCGATTTGCTCGCATAGGCTTCACTCGGGAGTTATCGGGACGGAAGTGGTCAAAAATTCTTTTCGCCCCTGTCCCGACGTGCCACGAACCATAGACTCCTACTAGAAGGCCTTACTCAAGATATACTTCAGTTTCCGATATTGGAACTGCAAAGCGATAAGTCGGAGCAAGGGGACTGGCCCATCTTTGCAGGCACGGGCCGCCGTTCCAAGTATAACATCGCCGGGAAGGCCTCCTCGTTTCTTCCTATTCTTCTGGGCTTGATGTCTCGTACTCGTTTGCTTTGGATCACGCGCCTGGCAGACCCCTATTGACCAACCCTGACAATGGCTTCCCTTCAGCATATCGTGTCTGCAGACGACAGATGTCGAGGTAAAGTATCCCCACCTAGCAGCACATTAGAAATGTGCTAATCTCGCATAGCATGCATTGAAGCATCCATGGACTTTTTGCTTTGGGACATGGGACGAACCTCAATATCAGCTGAAGCCTCACTCTTTGACCTTCTCAGCCAGTGTTTCGACAAGTTCAGGGGCGTCTTCAACCTCGAAGACCCCCACGGCATCCTCACACGCCCATCTATTCTGGAAGGAATGCTGAACGCCGTTTTCGACACCGACTCTCGTGCATTCGTGACGGAGAAGTCGCCCGGGTTTATCGCTGGTCTTGAGGAACATGACAAGTTATGCCTATATGTCCAGGCGGTAGCCGGCATGGTCTTGATCTTCCGGCGTCTGAGCTCGCTAGGCCGCACGCTATCCGCTGGCCTAGCCTCGCGAGAGATTCAGCTATTCAAAGAAAGCCAGCAACGGACGGTGGTACTCAGCAAGATCGCCGACACTTCTCTTTTAAGCGCATGCTATGCCAGGAGCGGTATCGTCGACTTTGTGGTTGAGGCTGTCGAGGGTCAAGAGCTTGGACAGCATGCCAACCCGTCTTCCGGTATCACTGGGGACGATCTTTTAGACAACACTGCCGGCTGGGTTACCGACCGCCCCTGCAAGAATATGGGACTGCCTTGGGGTTTCACGATTATGGCCATCAACTGACGGATCCGAGGTACGGAGAACGTAGCTGTAAAGTACTTTATCACCTCTCCATTCTCGCAGGAGCACGGCGTTGGGGTATCTTATCATGATTAATGATCTTATCACTCCGTCACAAGGGTTCTGTTCTCAATCACTTGCAGAACCAATGTTGTAAGCGGAGCGCGGAGGGCCGGCCAGTGTAATCCTACCGCAACCGGCTCAGGCCTTGACGGCCGGTGCTCCCCCGGCTTGGGCACTAGCTTGAACCTGTATAATCTCACCCTTCTTCCTCTCAATCTCCCCTTGAGCCTCCTTGATGCGTGTTTCCAGTCGGGATCTTGACGTATTAGCGAAGTCCAGGCCTGGCATTCTTGGACTTACATTTCTTTATTAATGAACTCCAGCCGGCCGTTCACAGTACTCTCTGCATCAGCCTGGTCTTGCTTGAGCAGAACGGGGCCGATAAGTTTGTAGATAGTCTCGCCCTCCTTCAGTTTGGCAAATTCCTGGAGCGGCCTCAGCCAACAAACATCCCGCGAGTTCAACAGCACGAAACAAACCTTTTGCACGCCGAGATTCTCCTGCTTCTGAGCCTCAAGCTTTTGCCGTGACTGTACGGCATCTTGAAGGTCTGTGTATTGAGTAAGCAACACGCCGAAGAGGATATAGATAGCAAGAAAGGCAGCACCTTGTTGAAGCTTGGTAAACTGTTCAGAGAGGCTTTGCAGTTTTGCTTGGACGTCGGCCATTCTTCCTCTCAACACGGTGGATCACCAAAGACAAGACCTGATCCTTCCAATAGTGAACAAAGGGGATGATACAGTGGCCTAAGAAAAGGAGGTTCAACCGCCTTGTGAGAGCAAGACTGCCCGGGCTTCAATTTTGGAGCCTGGAATAAATATGTTAGTGTTATGTAGGGCTTACCAGCCAAGAGGTTAACAGCACAGAATCCCCACCTTAAGCGTCCCAAGCAAGTGGCGTCAGCCCCGCGCTAGCGCTTCCAGGTCAACCACAGCACCTGCACGAATCCAAGAAGTGACGAACAACTCCCCTCCCAGATGCAACTTCATCTATTCCGGATTTCCTCCCCCAGTTCATTCAGGTAACTTGAACGACACACGCGTCGCAAATTCGAGGACCGGGCACGAGTTTCAGTAAGCCCCCGCCTTCTGGTCCTTCTGCCCTGGCGCTTGAGAGACGAGGACTTGCGCTCGTCCCTGGCCAAATGCCAGCATCCCTGCGGCAGCGACCCAAAACACCAAGCACACCCTAGATTTCTCCCACTTCTGTCCGAACCGCCGAACGCTGCAGCCCATCATGTCAAACACGGATTTCCTGGACCGCGCAATCAAGCAGGTGCGCCAAGCCATCGACGCCGACAACGCGGCGCAATATGAAAAGGCCTACCAACTCTACTACCAGTCCCTGGAGCTGTTCATGCTGGCGCTTAAGTGGGAAAAGAATCCCAAGTCCAAGGAGATGATACGTGCCAAGACCAGCGAGTACATGGACCGGGCCGAGAAACTCAAGGCACATATCGCGGACTCGGAGGCCAAGCGCAAGAAGCCCGGGATGGTGGGTGCTAACGGCACATCAACGGCGGGCACGGGTAAGGGCAAGGAGGCCGGCGAAGACGGGGCCCCTGAGCTGGACGAGGACAGCAAGAAGCTTCGAAACGCGCTCGCAGGAGCGATTCTACAGGAACGACCCAACATCAGGTGGGATGATGTTGCCGGGCTCGACGGGGCCAAGGAGGCGCTCAAGGAGGCGGTTCTACTGCCCATCAAGTTTCCGCACCTGTTCCAGGGCAAGCGGCAACCATGGAAAGGCATCTTGCTGTACGGCCCTCCCGGCACAGGCAAGAGTTACCTGGCCAAGGCTGTCGCAACGGAAGCGAAAAGTACGTTCTTCAGCGTGAGCAGCTCGGACCTGGTGAGCAAGTGGATGGGTGAAAGTGAAAGGTGAGCTAAAAGGACAACCCCATTGCCTCAGCCACCGCAAGCTAACCCGTTTTTCTTTACAGACTAGTCCGGCAGCTTTTCGCCATGGCGCGTGAGAACAAGCCCTCCATCATTTTCATCGACGAGATCGACGCGCTGTGCGGTCCGCGCGGCGAAGGCGAGTCGGAAGCCTCCCGAAGGATAAAGACCGAGATGCTGGTACAAATGGACGGCGTGGGCAAGGATACCAAGGGAGTGCTGATCCTGGGCGCGACAAACATACCCTGGCAGCTTGACGCCGCCATCCGCCGTCGATTCCAGCGCAGGGTGCACATCAGCCTGCCCGACCTCGCCGCTCGAACCACCATGTTCAAGCTCGCCGTGGGTGACACCAAGACGGCGCTGAAACCTGAAGACTTTCGTGAGCTGGCCAAGGCGTCAGAGGGATACTCCGGCTCCGACATTAGCATTGTGGTGCAAGATGCGTTGATGCAGCCCGTGCGCAAGATCCAGCAGGCGACACATTTCAAAAGGGTGGGTTTGGCGGCTGGCCTCAAGCTGTTCCACGATAAAGCTAACTGTTCTACAGGTAACTGTAGATGGCAAGGAAAAGCTCACGCCCTGCTCTCCAGGGGATCCCGACGCAATAGAAATGACATGGGAGAAGTTAGGTACGGATGAGCTGCTCGAGCCAGTGGTGGAGAAGAAAGATTTCATTAGAGCTATCAAGTCCAGCCGGCCAACTGTTTCCGAAGTGGACCTGAAGAAGAACGAGGAATGGACCAGGGAGTTTGGCAGCGAAGGGGCATAGCTCAAACATTCTGACAAGCTACACCGGCTTGAAAACGATCATGTTGTCACCTGGCGGGCCGTGGTCTCAGTAATTGCAGAATTCGCGGAGGGAGGATACCGATTTGGAATGTTCACGGATGGGTTGACTGGCGTCTGGCGTTTGTGTGAGATCCGTCGTCGGCCCAGCATATGGCGCGTGCTTGCTTTGTGCGCCTGGCAGCGTTGGGGATGATTTGTAGAATGACATCGACGTATATGAACAGGAGAGCATGCCAACTCCAGCCCTTTCAATGGCACAGCCCCTTTCCAATCACATGTGGGCACATATCAGCAATTCATCAAGCAGACGCTCGTCGATTTCATTTCCTGCCGTGGTATGATACACTCCGCTGGAACGGTGGACGTCTAGACTGCAAGCCCGTAACTCCTTAACCGAACCCTTCACCCATATGAAACTCCAGAAATAGCAGAATGACCAACCGAAGAGGAGAAACAGAGAAACAGATAACAGCATCCCATCCCAACTACTGCCCATTATTCAGTGCCCGTGGACTTCCTCTTCTTTTTCTTCTTATGCTCGGCGTCTCCGTTAACGTCGACCATCTCAACGTCCTCGCCGCCAATGCTCTTCCGTTTCTTGTCTTTTTTGTCCTTCTTCTTGTCCTTCTTGTCCTTCTTCTCCTTGACGGGGGTTGCTGACGACGCAGCAGCGGGCCGTTCGATCGCCTCAGCATCAATGTCCATATCACCCTCATCATCAAGAACGGCCTTGATAGCCTTATCCATCGCCTCGATGTTCTTCATTGGCTTTGTTCCCTTGGCATACCACTCAAGTCGTTGCTCAAGCTGCTCGCGCATGACCTCACCAAAGCGCCGTGTCGGGTGCTCTGAGAAGTTGTCGATGCGGCTGGCGATGGAGCACTTGTTGGCCAGGTACCGCGAGATGCGACCTTTGATCTTGGGCCCGGCGCGGCCAATGAAGGAGCTTTGGTAAAGCAGACCGTACTTAGGGGTTGCGCCCTTCGTCTTGAGAGCGCGGAAAAGCGCCTTCTCGGCGCCGAGAATCTGGAGGGTAGAGGCGGGGTACTTGGCGAGATTGGTCAGGGAGCCAGCGTGGGAAATGAGTCGCGCTGCGACAGGGGTGCCGAGAATGACTTGGAGATTAGGGGCGACATCGCCCATCTTCTTGTCAAGGGACTCGGCGAGGATCCGCCTGTAGTCCGCCATCTTTGAAACGTTGCGGGCAAGGTCCTTCACCATGTTGAGATCGGTCTCGCTAATATCCTGGCCCATTGAGACCTTGGCAGCCTGGACAATGGCCTCGGCCTTGTCCTGATCTTGATTGAGGACATTCGCGAGATCGTCGACACTCTCATCCGTCAGGGTCTTCTTGTCACCGATAGCCAGGACGATCTTGGCGTAAGTTCCATTGTCGCTCACAATTCGAATGAGCTCGGGAAAATGCCATCCGTACCATTCCCTCACACGCATTGCACCCTGGTTGATACCCTTATCTAGCGCGTCGAGCGTCGCAATGCCCTGGATGATGTGGTTGTCATTCTTGTGAACGCTGAACTTGACCTTGGCGCGGGAGTACGCATGGCCAAGACCGAGCTGTGCACGGTTGATATCTCCCTCCTGCAGACCTTTCAGAAGCTTGTTGGCATGAAGACGGATACCGCGAAGGAGCGCGGCGACGACCTCGGAGGTATCGGCTGCTTCGCACTGGACGCCGGGGAAGGTAGCGCTGATCTCGCCGGCTAACCGCTTGTCAACCACGCCCAGTACAATTTTGCTCTTCTTTCCACTGGTTTGCGGCAAGTTGAGCTCAAGCGTGTTCTTGAGATGCTCGGGCATGATGCCTTCGGACACGAGGTTGATTGCTTCCAAACCATGGGCGGCAGAGCTGTAAGCAATTAGCTGTGGACGGGGTACCCGGTGCAGTGCCAGCGACACTTACGTCCATGGGTTAAAGCTGCGCAGTTTCACCATCTTGCCAAACTTATCGAGGCTCTTCATCGCATCCTTGACCTCGGGCAATTCCAAGCCGACTGTGTCGGCCTGGTGGACGACCTCGAACAAGGAAAACCCGACGGCGCTCTCGAAGAGCAGATAATTGACCACCACCATCTTGACCGACTGCAAGTCCGTAATACTGGGGGTCGGAAGGTCGTGCTAGATTCGTCGAGGTCCGCCTCCAATACCGCGGCTTCTTGGTGGGCGAGCTTCAATTATTTTCGGTTCTCCCATTTTTGATCGTCCAGAAGCTTTTCAAAAATTTGCAGCCATGTTAAGCACGGGCCATTTGCAGATGTGGGGTCACGGGCGCCTTCCCGCATCGGGTAGCTTGGCAATCTGCCATCTGGCAACAGCTGGTTTCACAACGCTTTTCCAATCCGCCGGAACCGAGCTGTCGAACAGTTCGAACTCCGCAACCTCCCACCTCCAGATCGAAACCAGGCCGTTGTCTCAGCCCTACGGTATGCATACGCAGCATAGTCCGGTCACGATCGGCCGACATCACCCGGGCATACGGGTATGTAGCGGGTAGGCGGCCGCTATCTACCTTCGTACACTAAAGATGACCGACATCTCGGCGATGCCGTTGCGAATGGCTCAGCAGACATTGAAGCTCCTTCCTCAACGGGAGCGACTGATCTCGGTGATCTAGCCACATGGCAATTGGAAAAGTTGCAAAAGCGTCCCGACACGCTGACGGCAAGGGGAGATACTATGCAATCCTTCCGGGCCGTTCCCCCCCTAAAAGCTGACGCCCCACTACGCAGTGCCTTGATTTTCGCTGCAGAGAGCTGTGACTCGTAAGGCTTACTCGGCGTTGGTGAAGATGCCGTCGGTAACTGAGCTTCTAATTGGACCTCATTCGCTGAAACACACCACGCTGCCAATCAGCGAAGCGCAGCAGACTTGAAGCAGCAAAACGGCACACTCCACGCTCTGCTCTGCTTTTCTCATCAGCGTGTCCTGATAGGCGAAAGCTCACCCACAGGCAATTTCGCTTCCACACAAGTTGTGCGCAGCTGCGATGAGCGACTCCTCGCCGTGACTTATCATCTTATGCAGCCTCGCGATAAACGCAACCCTTGAAGCCTTATATATCAACTACACGCAATGGCGCGAATGGCGCGAATGGCGCAAATCGATGCGTCGATGCCTACAGGAATGAGTCCGAGTCGCGCGAGTTAGGCCAGCAGGCAGTGGTGTCTCCGTTCCCACGATTTTGTGACACCAAGACGGGCAGCCAGCTTCACTGCCCTTTTCGCCGCTAGCAACAACCCCTGATTCACTAAGTGTCGGTTCCATCTTCGGGCTTATCACCTGAACTTTACCCCCTCATAAGCTCAAGTCTTCCTGCTCTGCATCCCAAGCTGGGAGGTTTCAGCCACTGCCCCTCAACCATCAACACCACCTTTTCCGTTCCATTCTGACCTCAACAAAATTTACCCCATTCCATTTCCAGATGGATCCGCGCCGCCCACAACATGACTCTGAGGCGCAAAAGCCTTCAGCCGAGACGGCGAGCCCCCTACCTCACGGGCCGGCCCATGGCCCTTCAACAGGATCAGTCCCTTTTCCTGGTGCAGCCAAAGATGTTGTCCTCCCCTCGGGCAGGGAAGAAATAGCCAGGGACGACCCCGTTGTCAGGGATTCATGGCTATCCTTGGCGTCAACCGCAGACAGGAACTCGACGGTTCCTAGCATCTTCTCCGTCAGGGCATCAACGGCCTCGACGCGGTATTCCCAGCGTCAGTCGTCGATCGAGTCTCCGATTTCAGCCACTAGTCCTTTGCACCAAGAACTCCGCAAGGACAGTTTGTCCCTTGGCCGTCGCTACTGCTGCACCTTTTGCGATGAATCCTTTGAGTCCAAAGCTGAATGGAAGCTCCATGAACTCGAGGTTCATGACCCATTAGTCAGGCACTCGTGTCCCAAGTGTCCCGTTAGGTTTTCAGACTCTGTTGTATTGACCGAGCACTGCGAACGAGAGCACGGAGTTAGGCCAGCGACCCCTGTAGGAAGGGTCAATGAGCGTTTCACGGTCCGCACCGCCTGGGGTTGCGGCTTCTGCGCTGCATATATCCCTTCTCGGGAGGACTACCTTGAGCACGTCGGCAGCCACTACGACGAGGGCAGGGGAAGAGCCGAGTGGCAGCACACACGTGCCATCGAGGGGCTCCTCCGCCAGCCCCATGTTTACGCTGCTTGGACCGATCTTGTCAGCAGGGAGGAGCATGCCCGAGGAGCAAAGCTGCGGTTCCTCTGGGATCCAGACACAACTAGCCGCTCGCTCGAGGGATGCCGTTCCCTGCAAGACAAGCTCGAGTGTTTTGCGATTGGAACCACGAAGCCTCAGGAAATCGCAGAAATCGCGTACAAGAGTGCGCAAGTCAGACTCGAGAGGAACGTGAGCGACCTGGTCAACAAAGTTTTCACACGCGTGGGTGAGATAGGGTCGCAAAACCTCACTCTCTCCCCCATCAAGACCTCTCCGAAGCAAGACCCCAGTGCTCCAGTGTCAGCAGACGATGTGGTCTCTCCGATATCACCCCTGCCCGCTCCACTGCGGATAGCCACAGTGAACCGCCGAGCTTCAGACGAGATGCTCAAATCTGGGTCATTTGCGGCTACACCACAATTTGGTCCTGGGGATGAGCGCGCGCCCCTGTTCAAGAAAACAGCAGCACCATTGCCAGACATAGCTCGGCTAGCAGCACAGATAGGACCCGCTAAACAACCACTTAGTGACGCTGGGGGCCTGGCAAACCCCACGGTCCGGCTTAAAGCGCTCCGGCGGATTGACAGCTCTCGGAACCTCGGTTCCTCCGATCCCATCGCAGCCCCGGGACGACCAGACGTGCAAGAGCAAAGAAACGGCTCACCAGAGCAACCCCCCATACCTGCCTTCGGTATCCACCCGGCCCCGCTTCAGGGGTCAGTAGCAACACGTTTCTCAGCAGCATCAGAAGTGATGGGCCGTCGACTTGTCAGTGAACCGACCTCCCTTCCGCCTCGTACTGCAAAAAATGCTAGTTTAAGTGATGGCGACGGTCTCGTCGAGGCCAGACAGAGTGTCGAGCTTCCGCTCCTTAGCACAAGGAGGGAGCCGACGTTCCAGACGCCGACGTTCAAGAACAGCCGCTACAATGTGGCCCACTTCGATAACCCTGATTTCCAGCCAGAGGAGTGCACGCCCGAGGCTGATAATCACGACGCACCGCTCCGTCTCAAAGAACCATCTCCGAGGAGCAAGAGCGTAAATCGCTTGTCCGTCACAAAAACACCTGGAGCATCACTTTTGAGGCCCCACAACAGCTCCAGTACGCTGTCAACGCATACCCGCGAAGGCTCCCAGTTGTTTGACGACAGCACAAGCGAGACGATGTCAGACGACAGTCTTTCCGAGCCTGATTTTTGGTTGGAAGTCGACGGAAAAGCCATTGCATCCAGGCAGTGGAAGCTATCGTTTCATCAAACTGTTGACAGAGGCATGGTGCGACTTTGGACACGGTATAACCACGAGTGGGATGCGATGATTAGACAGTGTGTAGGCGAAAGGGGGAATGACTCTTCCCAATTCCGTGAGTCATCAGGCCGAGGGCGCCGGGGTGCACCTTCCCGCCAACCACTTGGCCGGGGACTCCGCCCGTACACTCACTATCCAGGCGACCAGGACGAGGAGGACGACGAGGAGTACGGAGGATATCGCCCGCCATCCTCCCAATCCAAGAAAAGTTCGGAGTCGGTCAAAAGATTCGCTTGTCCTTTCCGAAAACACGATCCACATACCTACAATATGCAAAATTACGAGACATGTGCTGTAAGATCCTGGTCATCAATTTCAAGGCTGAAGTAGGTGGCGAAGTACTGCAGCGGATTGGGCAGGAGCTAATAGGGGCCAACAGGGAGCATCTGTACCGGAGGCATTACAAGATACACTGTCAACGGTGCAAACAAGTCTTTAGCGACGCCAGGCAGCTCAACAACCACGAGATGTCTGCCGAGCGCTGTGAGGTCATCGACGCAGTCTCGCCCGGCGATATCACAGCCTATCAGGAGAAGCAGCTAAAATCCAGAAAACACACTGCCAAAAGGCAGACAGACGAGGAGAAGTGGGCTGATATTTACCGATTGCTCTTCCCTGGAGAAGAAAGAGTTCCATCGCCTTGTAAGTACGATTCCTTCGAATGCGATGCGGGGCCGGGTCGCTGATATGAGGCCAGACCCCGAAGTCGGCGATGATCTGGGACCTATATCGTCCGAGACCCGGGTTCTCCTCAACTTCCAGCACTTTCTGCTAACGGAAATGCCGTCCCTCTTCACCCAGACGGCCGAGGAGCATGCGGGAAGGCACATACAGGCTGGCGAGGGCTTGCCGATGGGAAGCATTCCCAGGATCATTGACGACGCCTTACGAAAAGCAATCCGTGCCTGGGAAACCGGGACGGGGAGCAGAGTTTCCGAGAGGGAAATCTCCGTCGCACACTCTGTTTTGCCCCCGGAGACACCGACTTCGTCCGTCCATAGCTACGGACAGCCCGCTACCTATCACCCGCAGGCGGGAGTCCCAAATGGAACGATCCGGAGCTTTCCTCAGCCATCTTTTGGCGTGGAAGCACCATTCGTCCCCGGCTTGGCAAACGCGCCTCGCGCCGACGGTTTTGGAAGCGGTGATGGCGACATGTTCACCTCTGCGACCACGGGTAACTTCCATGCGTTCGCCCCGCCCTTCTCAAGGCCACATTGGGAAGCAGACTTGGATTTTTTTGGTGGCAGTTCGTTCGAGGAGAATCCAAACACTGGGGGCCTCTTTCGAGGCTTCCATAACTGATGTGTCGAGCGCTGTTTGACAGATCCTTCTTCCAACGCGGAGAGCGCGCTACGCAGGTAGTCCTATGCTCTTGCCTCGGTTGCCGAGGAAGAATCTGTTGACCGCTGGCGTCCTCTGTTGATTACCATGTCATTGACGTCAACGCTGCTGCCCGAGCTTCTACTGCCGGTATAACCCGGGTGGATATCGGATATCTCGGGCAGCAGCGTTGACGCAGTGTGATTCGGGGGACTGTTGATTGGGCGGAGGATTGATTGGGGGGAGGATTGATTCGGGGGGCTGTTGATTGGGAGGAGGATTGATTGAGGGGAGGATTGATTCGGGGGACTGTTGATTGGGGAGAGGAGCAGGGAGGAGGACGCAGTGAGGCGAACGGGCCAGGAATACTTCAACCGTGATTTGGGGGACTGTTGATTCGGGGACTGTTGATTCGGGGACTGTTGATTCGGGGACTGTTGATTCGGGGACTGTTGATTCGGGAGAGGGCACGCTCTATGCGCCCGTATCCGGGGGGGGGGAGGGGCTATTGATGACGAGGATGCGGGACGCCATCACCCCATCTGTGGGGGGGGCTATGGAGGTGGGAGGGCAAGGAGAGGGTGACGTTACTGTCGCCCCTCCCCTCCCGCCTCAATCTCACCCGGTGGTTCAGGGCCGGGCGAGGCTGAAGATGCGGGATGGCGAGAGAAGTTCTCTTCCTTAGTAATTATATACAAGTAATCAGTATACTAACACTTATTAAATAGTTTCATCTTTGGCCATGTCCAGTTACAGCCGATCAGGGTAGTGCCCAAGCATGGTTTATCCTCACCAGGCCTCTGCTGCCTCAGACCATGCAATTATGGCATTGGTCAATAGACTCTCTTACAATCATGCTATCATGGTTAAATGATATGAGTAACCGGCTTCTTAACTAGTAAGTCTACCATGAAAAAGTGAACTTGCACGCGGCTAGAGTAGGGAAACTGCCAAGATCGGATCAAGTGCCTTCTTGTTTGACTGTGTTAAGTGTTGGATGGGCCTTCTTAATAACTTCAAGCTGATGCAACATTCTAGAAATGAGCGTCTCCTTGTGAATAATACACCTCCTCCGCACCACCTTCTACGTCCCTGCACGGCTCTCCATGTCGTCTCTTATTTATCTACATGACACCCGGGAGCTTGTCGAGCCCTGCGTTTGAGTTATGTCAGCCTTACACGTTCCATCCATCCCGGTATGGTGAACTGGCGGGGATCAATTACTTACACTGATCATAGTTCTCCTTAACCGACTGCCTAACCGCGCAGCGCTTGGCAGCATCGATGGTCTGCGTGCGCAGGTTGGCGCACTGGGCGCCGAAGCAGCCCGCCGTGTCCATGGCCCGCTGCAGCGAGTCGCCCTTCCAGCCAAAGACGTAGTCGCCGTGCTGGCCCAGGCCCGTGGGGTCGCCCGTGCTGAGCACGAAGGGTTGCGAACCGTCGGCCGGCCACTCGGCCCGGTTGTTGAACTTGGTCGTGTCCCACACGACCTCGTACATGAGCTGCGGGATCCGCACCGGGTGGGAGGCCGGGCAGTTGCCGCCCAGGCTGAGGAAGGTCGCGGGCCCGTTGACCGGGTAGGCGACGTGGTCTTGGTGGTTGGGCGTGTCGAGGTTCTTGCCGTCCCAGCAGCTGTTGGTTGCGTTACGGGTTAGTGCACGAACCCCCCTTTCTTTTGTTTTTGTTTACTTCCAGAGGAAAAAAGGGGAAGGGGGAGTACGTACGTAGGGAAGTGGATGTTGGAGCGGATGCCGCCTGGGCAAGGGGCAGCGGGCAGCTTCTCAGTGTCGATGGTGCCTTGGCACGGTGCCGCGGTGTCGCCGCCAAAGTTGGGGCCGGTGTAGCACCGGTAGCAGTTCTGCCGCCTGAGGCTCTGGTCGGGCCGGGACCGCATGTTGGGGTCGCCGACGAGCATGCGGAAACCCTACGTCAATGAGCGTGTCAGGATAGTCACTCCTTCCTTCTCTTAAGTCAAAGGGTATTATTGTAGGGACTAGGAGCTGCTTACAGGCTTGAAGGCAGTGATACTGCCGGGCTGCGCAGACACATAGTAGACCAGGATACCGCCATCTGTCTGCGTGCTGAACCGATCGTTGAATTGGAACCTGCAAACATGATGGTCAGTATCTACACACAGGCTCAGCTAGACGCCTTGCCTCGGCGAAGGGGAGAAAACGCACGCAGCAGCGCCCTGCGGGACCCGCTTATAGCTGCCATTGCGGGCCTTGAAGAACAGGTTGGCAGTCCAGTAGTTGGAGAAGTCGTCGGCAAAGGCGCACGTCGTGCAGCTGGCGTGTTGCGAGACATCGTCGGTTGGCATGGTCACATTGAAAGCGTTGCCGCCCACGATCTGGTGGATGTGCGGCGAGGGCATCTGGCCCGGGTTGACGAGGGGGTCTATCCGGTCAATGACGATCTGGGAGCATCCGAACCGCAGCATGGTCATCTGGCCCATGCCGCCGCCGAACTGGGGATTCGGCGCTGGCGCCGCCTCAGCGAACGCCGAAAGCGCGATGAGGGCGGTCCACAGCATCGCGTTCTGCGTTGAGACCTTTATTTTCTTGGGTCAGTTGTCGGGAGCCTCGAGGGAATTTGGAAAGGGAGACGCTCGATCAGCGTTGCAGGCTGGGATTCAGGGGGCAAGGGGGGGAGAGACAGTTTGACGGCGGAGCAGCGAGCTTGGCGAAGCGACGGCGATGGGATGACCTTCCTGGTTTATAACTCTTTACAGCACCGTCAGTTACACGACATTCCCCAGACTAAGCCTCCCATCCTGGATAAACTGCCGGAATACCCCCGGAGCGTGAATTGCCGGACTCATGGCGAGCTGTGGGCTGTAAATTGAACAATATAGAAATAGATTCTGGCGCCATCACTGGGACCTATAGGAGTCATTGCGTGTTCTGGGCAGCACTTGGTGGGGTAAATAACAAGACGGGTAGGGTGATATATGTGTGTTGACGGCAAATTCCAACTCGGCTACTAACAAGACTTGCTGCGACGTCACCAGGGGTGGCGGCCTAGAGCAGGCTGAGAGTGCGGCAGAATTGTGATAGGGCAAGAAGACTCGGAAAATAAATAAATAAACAAGGCGCCTAGGTACCAGAAACCGAGCTGCCTTATTTGGTTGAGAAAAGGGGTCGGAGATGACAGACACCATCCAGGGGAGGCTGCATAATACAGAACATTCTATAGCCCAAGCCATGTGGCCAGGACACCCTTTATGTTGGATGCAGTTACTGACGATGCTACCCGTCGAATGTCTGTAACCAAAATAGGGGGCCCAAGGACGACCGAGATGTCATTGCAGCAAGGTCTCGACCCGGTTCCTACTTCTAGTGTTCGAGGCCTCCCCTGTTACTCTCGTCATCGATGATGGGTTGCGCAGTGTCACTCTAGACGTTGTGTCCTTTCGCAACCGTGGACTGTGGCGTGAGATACCAGTACTACCTAGTGGCTGAAAATCATGACCACTTGGGCAGTCAAGATGGACGGCATATGTCAAGGCTTGGGCGCTTTCAGTCCACGGCTCTTGGTTGAACGTGGAGTTCGGCGGACGGAAGCGGGTGTAAAAGAATGTGCGAAGACTGCATTTGCCAGGGCTGGCAGATGACTGGAAGCGGGCAAAAGGATGATTAGGTGCAGTACCTACCTACTATCTATATTGGCTTCCCGCCTTAATGAAGATCCAATGAGTATTCTATCTGTTTGCTGCTCGTGGCATGACGTACTTGACCCTGTGTGTTGCTAGTCAAGGACGAAACTGACAGCTTACCTGTGATTCTCCTGGAGCAGCAGCAATAGTAGCACCTCCTGGGCATTCAAGGCTTTGGATATGGCTATTGCATCTTGAAAGCGCTGGAGAACCCATAGCATGAAATCTGGCACTGAGTGTCCTTCACCTTCACCTCGCCACGTACCTTAAGTATGAACACTTAACGTAGGAACGGCTGAAAGTCATACAGATCTGCTTGATAGCTTAGGCTTGCATATTGTCTCGCTCGACTGACACTGAACACTTCGACTCACATCATATTATTCTTAGTAGATAGTACGACGCAGAGTCGCAGGCGGCAGCCAGGTCATAATTCCCAAGGCTCCCGAGTCGTGGCAAGGGCGCAGCGAAGTATCACATAATACCCCTTGGCAGTTCGTCGCTTTACATGTGCGGATACAACCGGTTCATCGGTTCATTACTGAATTCATAACCCAGAGGCACGTGCCTACCTATCCGGACGAGCCGACGAGGCAAGTCCGTAAAGTAGGGGGTATGTAACATGATTCTACGGTGGACATAAGTACCTACACGCCCGTAAAGAGATTGTAAGTACTCATGTGATGTTTAGCTGGGCGCAACAAGACATTCGTGAGCCGTGACTAGGTACCTAGGTAATAAAGCTGAGCCGTCGAAGACATCTGCCGCCAAGGAACGCAGAAAGAAACAGAAGGCGGGAGAAGGATCAAGCACGAATCTGCCGCCCGGCCTCCATCCTGTGCTCCTACGAGGGTCTGCAAACAGATTAATGAGCTTGATACACAGCCATCGACCTTCTTCGCCCTTGGGCTTCTCCGTGTCCGGCCCAAAAGGTTGGTCCAGGCACGGGGGAAAAGGGGCCGCGCAATTCGACTTTGCCCTAACCTTTCTATATGCCGAAGACCACATATCTTCGTTTTGGCCTTACTACTAGTACTAGTACCTGACTGGTGTAAGTTCTTGAGCTCGACTGTATTCTTATGACGCCCTACTCTGCGGTTCCCAAGAACATAGACAACAATGATACTGATAGTATTGACACCCAGCTCGTTGGTGATTCCTCTGACACGATTGGAAGCAACTACAAAGCTCAAAAGCGAATAAATATGGGAAAATATACTCATAAGATCGCTTCGACTGCTCACCCACATAAACACCGACTGGTAGCTCAAACGCACGGTTTTCCACAACATGGAAGCGCTCACACTGGGAAGACCATTTCACATTGCATTTATGTCTTCATCCCCTTTATGTGTCTTCGTACCTTTCTACATTACACCGGTCCTAGTATTATCTGTACCAAAGAAGCTGAGGTCCGCGTGCGGCAGCTACAGCCTTCAACATCACCCGCAGCTTCAAGTTGACAATGTTGACATGGCGTACTACCTGGGTGTGCGCGATACAGGCCTATAGGCATGTCAAGCCTGAGGCCCGGCAGCGACAGTTTCGAATGCATGCAGTCGGCGAGATATTAACGGTCTGCCCATACCTAAAACCATCAAACTTGCTCTTTCTCCTATTATAAGAGGCTACCTAGGTACCTAAGGTAGGTCGGTAGATACCTACTTGGTATAAGAGTCACTTTTATGTCATGACCTCCAAGTCCTACACGCTTCCCTCTTTTTCTTCACATCAACAACAATAAGATGGCCCAATCTTGCACAGCTCGCCTTGTGGCCTGCTGGTCGACGGGAGCCAGGGAGAAGGGCAGAATCCTATGTGCCGTACATAGATAACACTAACCCACTGATAGCTTAGTCTCTTAACAACTTGACCTCAGTTAACAACTTGACCTCAGTTAACAACTTGACCTCAGTTAACAACTTGCAGTCTCTTTGTAAGAGTTCTATTCCCACCTAAACAATGAACTATTATATTTCTCAGTACTGGCTAACTTTGCGCGGCTTGAACGTGTGGCTTCGTGTACACAGTAGAGGTTGGATACCCCTCTACTTCGTACTACGAAAGAGTACAAGACGCAAGTACAGATATCCCGGCCGTTATCCTAAAAGGGCACCTCGGCAAAATCTGGTGGGGAAGAAAAGCAGGACAAGTCGACAAGCTGAAAGATAGGCACGTGGTCCGACTCAACAGTTCGGTTCGTCAAGTCGATCCAGTGGGTCAAGTGGAAACGAGTCGTCAATCGTCATCGTCAACTTTGTCAGTCAATTTCCAGGTTTTGGCGGGGAACGATGAGGTCGGTGAAGGTTAGGGTCTAACTCCAGTCTCTGGAGGAAAAGAAGAATAAGGAGTGGAGAAGGACGGCGTTATAACCCAGGTACCAGATATATATCTACGGAGGCTTACCCTCAGCTGCAGCCTATCGCGGGCTACATGGGAAATCACTATTCAGCTTGTTGCTGCCGGTGAACTACCTTCGGTCTTTGGGTAGTATTGTTAAGGCACGGCACGTGGCCCTATGCGAGCCACCAATGCGACCATCTTACTGACTTACCGTACGTAGTAGGTGTTATAAGCATGGCAGCATCAAGACCCGCGGGACCCGCTGTAATCCCGGCAACCGGGCTCAAGCCGGGCGACCGGCATGCAAGCGAAGCTCTGTGTTTTGCTGACGGCTCAAGGTATGACGGTGAGCATATGTTCAAGTACTTAGAGAGATCACAGCCCTGAATTCGAATTGCCATCAGGGTTCGTTCAGAATCTTGACTCTGGAAACTCTCTCGATCTCAAGTACTGACCCAAAGGTCAAGGTTCCAAGTCTCCCGAGTCCCCGGACTGAAGACTCGGACTACGATAGAAGCGGCTCATGCTCCGAACATTGCAGAGTGCAAATCTCTGACACGCAGGAACCATGAAGCACTTTGCAGTCTTTGGCGTTGGCATTGGGCTCGCCGCCCCGGCGACGGCCTTCTACACGGGCAACATCAATTACTTCTCACCTTCACAACATCACCCATCCCTGGGAGTGTCGATCCGCAAGGTCGCCGCCCGCACTCATAGCAATTCTCCCTGGTCTCCGAACCAGCTCAACTTCACCCACGGCGTTGCCAGTGGCGATCCACTCGAGGATTCCGTCATTCTCTGGACTCGTGCAGCACCTACCTCGGACAACGATGCGAGCAACATCACCGTCTCGGGCTATGTTGATCTCTACAGCCACGAAACCGACGCCTATGTGAGGGCCAGCAAGGCCCCAGTTTGCGTCGAATGGAAGGTCTCCAAGAAGCAGGATCTGTCTCATCCCGTCTCCTCGGGGACGGCTTACACTAGCTCGGACATTGACTTCACCGTCAAGGTAAGCACAGTTTGGCCAGTGTTGACATTGTCTCTCCTGCCGTCAAGGGCAGCACAGGGTTCACCTATACAACGATGTTCAAAACTTACTCTACTGTTTTTGCTGCAGGTCGAAGCAAAAGGGTTGAAACCGTTCACTCAGTACTGTGAGTTTGATTGCCTTCTTTACCCCTTATGACCTCACGATGCATACTCATCCATATCTCCTGAGCAGTTTATCAGTTCAACATCTGCAAATCCAACAATACCAGCCCGCTCGGCCGGACCAAAACACTGCCGTCGAAGAAAGGCAAAGTTCACTCGCCCATCAGGATTGCCATCTATTCGTGCAGCAACTACCGTAAGCACAGGGTCACTTGTTTCCCCCACTGTCATATTCCTTTCTCACAAGTCTTCAGCGTTTGGCTTTTTCAATGCCTACGGTAACACCGTTCGAAAGGATTCAGCCGACTACGTGATCCATCTCGGTGACTACATCTACGAGTACAAGAATGGCTACTACGGCTGGGGCAACGCATATGACCGTATCCCATTGCCAGACCGGGAAATCTTTACGTACGCCACTCCCCGCTTTACCCTGTCTGCCCTGCATCATGTACTGATATAGGCACAACAGTCTCTATGACTACCGCAAGAGGATCGCCACTTACCGCACCGACTTGGATCTGCTTGCCAGCCACCAGCAGTTCCCGTGGATTCCAGTTTGGGACGGTGCGTATTACCCTGCCTGACAACTCTAGGTTGGCGGATAGGGAAAGAGCCCGAGAAGCTGACATCCGACACCCCCTAGATCACGAGGTTGCTGACAACACGTACCGTGACGGAATGTCTGAGCTGAACAACACTGAGAACTCTTTCATCAGCGACGGCGGCGTTGCCGTGGATCAACGGAAGATGAACGCCGTGCGCGCCTACTTCGAATGGAGTAAGCATCCTTGCCCAATGACCATGTATTACTACTGCCCGACTACTACCTGGTCACGGCTTGAATTTCACTGCCACTTTGTCAGGGATGTCACCACTCCTGATCACCGCGCTAATACTAATGGATCTCTCTCCCAGTGCCAATCCGTCAGGTTGACATGGATGACAACCTCCGCATCTGGCGGGATTTCCAGTTTGGCGATCTCTTCGACCTCCTCATGCTGGACACGCGTCAGTACGACCGGAGCATCACCGACTTGTACTGGAACACGGACTACGTGCATGCCATCAGCAACGACACCGGGCGGTCCTTGATGGGTCCTCGCCAGGAGGCGTGGTTCTACCGCAAGCTGCGCGAGAGCTCGTCTCGCGGCGCGGCCTGGCGCATTGTCGGCAATCAGATCATCTTCAGCCGGATGAACGAAAGCCTCGCTTTCGGCAACGAGAACCCGCTCAACTACGACCAGTGGGACGGTTACCAGGCCAACCGCAACCGCACCCTCAACACACTCTACGAGAACAAGATCAACAACACCATCTTCCTCGCCGGCGACTCCCACGCCTCGTGGGTATCCGACCTCGCCTGGCTCGACACGAAAGCATACGACCCCGAATCCGGTGCGGGGGCCATTGGCGTGGAGCTGGCGGGCAGCGCCGTGAGCTCTCCCTGCCCCGCGGGGCAAAACATTACCCTCACGGCCGCCAACGCGGGTTCGGCCTGGCTGACGGCCGCCAACCGTGAGCTGCAGTGGCAGGACCTGTACTACCGGGGGTACTTTGAGCTGTCGATCGGGTACGATGCCGTCAACGCCAGCTTCTTTGGTTTGCCGTCTGTCACGACCCGCAACGGCTACGAGATCCCTCTGGCCAACTTCACCATTAAGCACAACGCGAACAGACTGGATCGCCAGGCTGCGTCGTTCGGGGTGAAGACTGTTGAGAGTGGGAGTCTTAAGGGTGGAAAGACGGTGGGGACTAACTTGACGTTTGACACTAGCACTGGCGAGTGGTTTGTGTTTACTGGAAAATAAAGGGGTGTGACCTTGGGAAGTGCCGCAACTGCTCAGCTTGGATACTACTAGTAGTAGTAACTGGCTAGGATGGTATATGTACCTACTTATTAATGAGTACGAAGTAAGGGTCTTGGATGCAATTTTGAAGTACTACCTATGCGGAGATAATAAGGTAGGTACTCAACGCCTTATCAGAACGAGTGTCATGTTTGACTTGCTCTTAGGGGGTTGGACGTGCTCACTAATACATGGAATCCGTGGGATCATTGGGTCGGCAAGCTCCCGAGTCAAGTTCGCGCTCCCTCTTTTATACCTGGCTTACATGACGTCACCTCAAACTTGTCTAGCCTGTCTTTACGGACTACATGCTCATTTGCAGCTGGAATCAAATCACAATCTCATCTTGATCGAATTGCCTCACACCAGACTCTGCAATGACCTCCAACTTCACGCCCCTGATGCTCGCGGGTGGCAAGTCCACGCGGATGGGCTCCCCCAAGCACCTCCTCAAAATGCCCGACAACCGGCCGCTCTATCTGCATCAGATCGAGCTCCTCCACCGAGCCTGCCCGGACGCCCCCGTGGTCTACATCTCGCTTGCCCCAGACTCCCAACTCGACCCCTATCTTGAGTCCCTTAGCACCAGCACCACGAATGCCACCACAGCCTCGACCAACCCCCAGGATGAAAACATACTACCCAAGCACCCGCCGCCTCCCACACCCAACATCCCCCAGCACGTCCAAGTCCGCTTGATCTTCGACAGGCCTGACTGGAACTTAGCCCCCAGGCCCAACATGGCAAACCCTAACACCAACCCTTCACCACCACCTCCACCATCAAGAAAATCAGCAAAAGAATCAGCCGGCCCCGCGGCAGGGCTACTCTCCGCCCTAGCCACACAGCCCAACGACGACGACACGACAGCTTGGCTGGTCATAGCCTGCGACCACCCCTGTCTAACCTTATCCGCGCTGGGCGAGCTCTGCGACGGATACCGCCCGCCCGTGACGTGCTTCACAGTTCCGTCCTCCGAGTCGTTCTCCTCAAACACAGACACAGATAACAACAACAGCAGCACGAGTATCATGATGATCGAACAGCCGTTGGTTGCCGTCTGGGCTACGTGCGCCCTGCGCCGCCTGTGCGAGAGGGTCGAAGAGTCCCGCGGCCGGTGTGGGCCTCGCGCTGTGGTGAGGGAATTCATCACTGGTAATGAAGGGCAGGTGATCCCCTGGCGAGGTGACCCCCGTGTGCTAAGCGGGGTTAATACTCCCCAGGAATGGCTTGCTGTCGTTGGGTCATGGGCCGGGGATGTAGGCAACAATAGTATTTAACTGTTTAAGGGAATCGAACTAGGAAGGGTTGATTCATGTCCATGCACCTGTCGAGGGTGAGAGGGCAAGCATGCCTGTAGGAGATAGAGGGTAGCAGTCAACGGGCATACCACTACTAGTCCTTTGCTCCGTGGAAGCCTGCTCGCCGGGCTTGAGATGGATCCAGCAGTTGGCCGAGAGAAAGGGACCCAGCTTGGCGGGGCTTTGTTCGGGGGTCGGATGGACCGTCAGCTGTCCGGTGGACGACGCCGAGAGGGTGCCGTGTCGGAACCAGTCCGTCCCCGGTGGCGGGTGTGTTGTTTTCCGCGCGCATTCGGACTGCAAGACTGCTCGGATGGGCTGTTCCATCGGTTGCCCCTGGACGGCTCGGAGGTAGGGCACCGTCAGAAGCCGAAAGCAGGCGGCTGCTGCCCCGGGGTTGCCCGGCAGGCCGAACAGAGGAATTCTCCTGCCCTTCTTTTCAGGCAAGAGTGCGAATAACACGGGGTGGCCAGGTCGAATGGCCAAGCCATGGAAGATAATCTCCGCCTTGGTCTTGTCGAGAACGGCCCTGACGTGATCAAACCTGCCCTTCGAGACGGCGCCGCTTGTCAAGATGAGATCGTACAAACCCGAGTCGACCAGGTTCTGGACGTGGTCCTGTAAAGCTGTCGGGTCGTCGCCGATAATGCCGACAAAATCCGCATCTGCGCCCATTTCTCTGATAGCCACTGTTAGATACGGGCCGTTGGCGTCCTTTGTGGCTCCTTTTCCGTTGATCAGTTCCCTCCCCGTTGACACGATGGCTACACGGAGTTTTGGTACAACCGGAATCGACTGAATCCCGACAGCGGCCAGCGCTAGGATGTGTGCTGGCCGGATTACCTGCCCCTTTCTGACCATGACATCTCCTTCGCGGATGTCATTGCCGGCCAACCTCTTGTTAACGCCTGGCGTAACCGGGTGTGATACAGCGATGGTTCTACCGCCTCCATGTAGCGGTGTGTCCACGATCTTGGCATCCTCTACTCTGACACAGGCGTCGTACGGCTTTCCCGTTGATGCACGATCAGGAAAGATGGCGCCTGTCATGATCTCCACGCACGAGTTCAACTCCATTTCGTCAACCGTGTTGGGAGTAGGCCAGGAAATGCTTCGCGGATCATCCCCTGCTGCTAGACTTCCCTGCACCCTGAAAAGCACTGGGGTCACAGGAGACGCGTTCGCTGTGGTGTGTGAGTGAATGGCATAACCATCCATAGCCGACGTGTCATACTCGGGTATGGACTTGGGACTGGTGATATCGTGGGCCGCGGTGGCCCCCGTCGTGTCCCGCAGGGAGACACATCGTTGGTAACATTCGGGGGTAGTAGCGGTACGTTGATCTTGGGCGACCGTAAGCAGTCTGGCGAGAGCCTCCGAGTAGCCCAAAGTCATGATAAATACTAAGGTATCTGATGTGAGTACCAGGAATGGAGAATCTTGCATGTATCGGGCCCCGCTTATGATATGGCGGCCCCTTGGATGGTCGCTTGAAGGAGGCTTTCAGGCTTAGAACCGAATTTTTGCCAGGAGAACATGAACCGCGATTGTGGAGGCATTAGCTTCAGGCTGTTTGGTCAGGACTCCAGGTTTGGGTGTGTGGATGAACAGGGTTAATGTTCCAGTGAAGGCTGGAACTGGTTCCAAATTGAACCTGGAGTTGAAATGAATGCGGTACGATAGTAGTGACGTCACTAATCTGTTCAACAGGTGCGCATCTTTCGCAACTGAGGAGCAAGCAGAGAGCTCAACCCGGAAGACGGCCTTGGTTGTTGATGAGGGAGACGACACCAAATTGTAACAAGTAAACAATGTTGACCGGGTGACAGACGGACGACAGCACAGTACACACATTTATACCCCTTATAGCCCAAAAAACAATTGCTCGAATTTCACGGGCAACCAATAAATAAGTAGCAGCTAGATACAGTCCCCCCCTCTTGTTTGTTCGTTAGCGCCTGACTTCAACACCAGGATCAGCCCTAAGATTTCAATTTCAACAGCAAAACAGTCAGTTTTCTCACGAAAAAAAGGCTCTAAAGAAAATAGTCCTCTTGAATAATGCTGGATACTCTTTTTTCTTGCATTGAGTTAACCGTTCTGGCTGCTGAGAAGCATTTCTCTAATTTCTGGACAAGGACCGCTGTCAGAGTCTTGCGCTAACAAACAAACAAGGGTTGAACTGTAGGTAGTAACTGAAGGTAATGAACGAGCAGACCGGGTGGTTTGTGCTTTGTGTACCCAAGTAGTAGAACTGCTAACAGGTCTCGGGGTGATGGAAGCTAAAACGGCACCAAAAGAGTCTGCGGACCCCTCATCTCCACAAGGTGCGCCGCCCACGCCCGCATGCGCGACAGACACGTCTGGGCGCTCTCGACCGCCTCGACAAAACCCTCGTCCCAGAGCGCCTGCGCCGTGGGCACCAGCGCCGCAACCATGGACTGGATATGGGCCAGGAATACGACCAGCGCCTGCAGCGTCTCGAGCACCTGATACTGAGTTCTCCGCGGCCCGGGTGTGGTCTCATTGTTGCCATCGTCGCCGTCGTTGTTGTCGGAACATGGGAACAAGGCGTCACGGAGGGCGTGTGCGCGCCGCATACTATGATGGCCGTGCTCGTCGACCTCGTTTCCGCCCCTTTCCTCCTTTTTCTTGTCCTTGTTCTCGTACTTTGCCAGCTGCGGCTCGAGCTTGGCCCGCATGTCGTCGGCGAGGCGGTGCATCACCCGCAGGCCGCTCTCGATTTCCGGGTCGTGGACGATGGAGGGGATCAGCGTCTCGTAGATCCCGAGGAGCGCGAGGGCACCTTCGTATGTCTCGCCTAGCCAAACATCGAGTTTGCGCTGGCGAATGGTCAGGTCCTCTGTGGCGGTCGCAGCTTTGACAGCGTCCTGGGTTGCGACCTTTGAAAGCGTTACGGATTGCTGCTCTGGAATTCGGACGTGTGCAGCCTCTGCCGCATCATGCTGGTCCGGCTGCGTTATCTTCTCAATACAAACCGCGCCCGACTTGAACAGGGGTTGTTTGGAGACGGGATCCCACCGATCTGTTTTCGCGTCAGCTCTGGGCCCGACTGGTACCACACCTACCACCTTTCCTAGTACTACCTATGGTGGTAGTAGTAGTAGTGCAGTGGATTGAGCAGACATGTCCTTACCAAATGTAAGCTCGTTGGCCGCTCGGGCTCGGCCGTCGTGCGAATCCCAGTATCCGAAGTGAAAGGGGATAAATACCTGCCCTTCGGCAATGCGGCCGACTCGGCACTTCAGCTCAACTGCTCCCTTTCGGGATCGCACCACCACCATCTCCCCGTCCGAGACGCCAAACCTGGCTGCGTCTGTCTCCGAGATGCGGACCTCGGGCTCGGGACAGGCCTTCTGCAGCGCTGTCCGACCAGTCTTTGTGCGAGTGTGGAATTGGTGAATTTTCCGTCCAGTCGACAACCGGAGCGGGAACTCTTCGTCTGGCTCGTCCATCGGTGGCAAGTAGTGGCAGGCCTTCAAAATGGCGCGTCCAGCAGGGTTCATGGCCTCGAACTGGGCTTTGCTGAGCGGTGCCCCGGTCTCCAGGTCGTGGCCGAAGCTCTCGCAGTAGTCGATGTCGGTGAAGAAGACGCCGTCGGTATACAGCCGCTCTTTACCCCGCGGATGCTCGGCGTTGCACGGCCACTGTATCCCGGACCCGCCGGTGAGGAGCTCATAACTCAGGCCCGTGTAGTCGCACGGCCTTCCGGCCGACAGCTTCTTCCAGGCCTCGAACACCTCCTCTGGCTTTGTCCATGGGAGAAGATCCTTGCCGTCTTTATCCTTGAATCCCATCCTCCTGGCATAGTCGAGAAAGATATCCAAGTCCGACTTGGCCTCGCCGGGAGGGTCCACGGCCTTGTGCGAGATGTGGACGGTGCGGTCGGCATTCGTGAAGCAACCAGTCTTTTCTGCCCATTGAGCAGCTGGAAGAACCACGTCGGCAATGGCCGCCGTCTCGGTCAGATAAATGTCCTGGCACACGACGAAGAGTTCTGGCCGGGTCAGCAGGTCGCGGACACGGGGCAGGTTTGGCAAGCTGACGAGAGGGTTCGTGCCGCTAATCCAGAACATTCTGACGGAGCCGCTTTCGATGTAGTTGAGAAGGTTCTGCACGTGGGTAGGCTCGTTCCAGTGCGGCACTTGAATGGGCTCAATGTTCCACAAGCGTGCTAGATCGGCGATGTGGTTGGGGTTCTTGTGGTTGCGAAAGCCGGGGAATTCCCCGTCGCAACCCGCCTCACGGTTGTTTTGGGCCGTGGGCTGGCCGTTCATCTGCAAGATGCCGCAGCCGGGCTTGCCAATCATGCCGCGCAGTAGATTGATGTTGTTGATCTGGCAAGCACTGGCAGTGGCTTGGTTCGACTGATAGACCCCCTGCAGAGCAGTCGAGAGTAAGCTTTTAGATGTCCCGATGATCCGGGCCGCCTTCTCAAGCTCCTCGGCCGGTACGCCGGTGATGTGTTCGACCGTCTTCGGGTTGTAGTCGGAAACGGTAGCTTTCAGCCCCTCGAGACCGACAACGTGCTTAGACACATAGTCATGGTCGATCCAGTCGTTTTTGAACATGAGATATTGGATGCCATTCAGCAAGGCGAGGTTAGTGCCCACACGAGGGGCTAGATGGAGAGTTGCCTTTCGGGCCGTCTCTGAGAGTCTGGGGTCTACCACGACGAGTTGGGGCGGATTGGGCCCGGCCAAACGATCCAAGACCCGCGACCACAGGACTGTCTGTGTCGCCGCCATGTTGTGGCCCACCAGAAACAGGCATTCGGTGTAGTCAATATCGGCGTAGGAGCCCGGCTGTCCGTCGGAGCCAAAGGACTCGCGCATCGAAGCTGCCGCCGTGGCCGTACAAAGTCTGGTATTTCCGTCCCTGAAAAGTATCATGAATATTAGCTGGACAGATCACCTGGGCGACCGGGAGAACTTCAAGGCGGCTTCTCACATATGGAGCGTGTGAAGACCTGCCTTCCCGACCAGGGCCAGGGCGTAGTACTCCTCGAGAAACAGCTGGCCCGAAGTATAGAAAGCGATGCTGTGGTTGGTGAGATGGTTCTGGAGCTCCTTGGATTTGGCAACGATCAGATTCATGGCCTCATCCCACGATGCTCGCTCCAAACGTCCATTTCTTCGGACCAGAGGATACTTCAGACGGTCCGGGCTGTGGATGGCCTTCCACCTTAACTCAGTGAGCGAAAAGCACCCAAACAAGAAGAATGATACAAGTAAGGTACCTACCCATGTAGCCCTTTGGGCCCTAAACGACCCTTGTTCACACGGTCGGTTGCCCTCCCCCTGACGCCGACGACCTTGCCGTTCTTGACGCCAATATCTAGCCCGCAGCAGTTGCTGTATGCATTATGCATTTGATGTTGAGTAATGGCCTTCAGGGGTGACTAGTAGCACGCGAACGGAAATCGTACGACACACCTGCAAAGCACACAGGCGCTCTGGACCCAATTCTCGGGTTCCTCATCGCATGCGAGGTCGACCCTTGTAGGCCATTCGTCTCTGTAGGGCGTGCGCGGGCCCCAAACGTCCTCAATCGAGTCACGCGTCTGGATTGCCGGAACCGCGTAGCTGTCCATGACTCTTGTTGAATTCGTTTGCTTTTCTGGATGGCTTCTTTCTTCTTGGCTTGACTCGGCTGAATCACTGCAGGTGGCAGTATCCAGAGAGACACTTTCGTGACGTCATACCTTTGTTTGCGAGAAGTTGCAATTCCTAGGAGGGTTGAAATAGGATAAGTGTCCTCCGATCTTGTATTATAGAGTACTGGTGCCTAAGGTAGTCAACGTTTCGCATCAATCCTGCCTTCTCGATGATCTTGCATCTCGCGTTGAAGTCGCACCTGCTGGTCCAGCTTCAACAGTTACCTTGGAATGTACCGTAGGCAACCGGGCCGCTCCAGTCTCCTTCCAACCCCAACAATGGCGTCACCGCAACCCTGCTTCGAGTGACCCGAAGCTGTGGGCAGCACATGTTCTGCTTCGCGGGGCCCCGCATTGTGCCCCTGAAAAGGGAACAAAAGAAGCTTATCTCGGAACCAGCCTTACGGGTCCCTACCCGAGATCAAAATCGACGTAGTGTATTTCGACGTACACGTGTATATCCAGATCTCAGGTACTGTACGCTTCAGTTTTCTTCTGGGAAATCTGATTGTAAACAATCGTGGTGTAAAGTACGTACCTCCTGTTCAATCCTCCCGCTTCACTCACCGCCCCAACGCACAACTCTCTCAGGCTCTCTGGAAGACCCGACTACCCCCCTCCCCTGCCACACCTCGGACTCCTAATTGCACGTAGTTAGGTATATGCGAACACCTAATGCCCACGGCTGGCACAAATCTCGAAAGGGCGCGCACGCCCTCCGTCCAAGCGGTTCGATCCGATCCTGCGCGGCACTGATGGTATGGATACAGCCAACCGGAGATCCTCTCTTCCCCACTGTGGACCTTGAGGTGGAACAGCATTTGTCAGCTGCCGGGGTGCGATCTACCGCAGTGCGAGCGACAGCACCTCTGCACTAATAAGCTGACAGGGAATTCTCAATTAATAATGCACTCACGACGGAACAACCACTGGTGCGCCAGAATACCGCGTCTTCCCAAATACGGTGCCAATATTTACCCTGGGAAGATAACTGCGCAAGCAGGACTGGGGGTTGCACCGGACCGAGCGCAGTCGGGTCGAAGGGATGGGTGAGAGGGGGGTTGATGTTGATTAGCGATCAGTCCGAAAACATACCGACGATGCTCCACGTCACGACTCCGTCAGAACAAGTCGAGCTAGCGTCGGATTCTCAACAGGGGATTTTGAGATGTAACGGAGGAACGTCCTAGAAGCCAATGGTTGAGTTCTTGAGCTGTATATAAGTTGTCGAGCAATCCACCTCAACATTCCCCATCTCCGAGACCAGCTCATCTCCAGTCACACCCAGACAAGCCAAGTCTCAACTCTCAACCGTTCAAGCTCACCTCACTTTCAACGTCTACCAAACTCGAAAGGTTTCAAAATGTCTCTCTCTCTCTACGACACCACCATCGGTTCAAGCACCAAGGCCCTCACGGCGCTGCTCTCCCTCCTCAAGAAGGCACAGGAACACCCGGAGGCCGCCACGATTCCCGAGACCCGCATCCACGAGGACATGCTGCCCTTCAAGTTCCAAGTCCTCACCGTCTCCAACTTCGCCAAGAAGGCCGTCGAGCGCCTGGCCGGCCGGGAGCTCGAGGCGTGGGCCGACGAGGAATCGACGCTCGAGGAGCTCATCGCGCGCGTCGAGAAGACGCTGGCCCTGCTGGCGACCGTCAAGCCTGAAGATCTCCAGGAGAAGGAGCAGGCGATCCACTGGGGCAAGCAGCTGCTGGGCACCTGCTCCACCTCGCAATATGCGCTCGACTACATGCTGCCGAACATGTACTTCCATTTGACCACGGCATACGACATTCTTAGGATGAAGGGGTTGACGATTGGCAAGAAGGATTATATAAAACCCTTTGTGGGGGGCTTCCTCGCTTTGTCGGATTGAGTGGTGGCTTGCAATAGGATGGATACCCGAGGATGTCATACCATGAGAGGTGTCCCTTCGTCGACACCCGCGTTAGGAAAATAGACAATGAGGATGCAGAATTACCTCAAAAGCCAAGAACAGTGTTTGCCCTCTCGACTGCTTCCGTCCCGCCAGGTGTATCGCCCTCCGACGCGATGAGCTTGTCGAGGCCCATTGCTTGCACTCCCCGGGGATCGCAGTACTTCCTGACATACTCCTCCGTAGCGCGGCCAATATGCCGCGACTCGCCCTCGCCACCAGGGAAATCCGGGCCAGGCGTGCCGTGGAGAAACGCGGTCCGCTGTCGGGCGATGTACTTTGCACTGGCCTCGGTTGTCGGACACACAGGGATGTAGAACACGCTCGAGTCCGAAGATCCCCCATGTTTCTTGTCAACCGCGTGGATAGCTTCACCGGGATTGTCAGCTTCCATGCCTCCAGCCATCATTCAGAGCAACACATATGGCAACACTCACTGTCACAATGCCAGATGACATAGTCTCCGGGCCTCACCTCGGGGACATGCACCATGGTCCGCTGGAGCTCCAGATGCGGGTGCAGCGCCTCAGTGAACTCCTGCGCACACCCGGGCATGGCACCTTGCAATGCGCTGCTCATGCGCTCCGAGTCTCCCATAAACCGCCAATTCCCCTCGCTCAGGTACCCTTCCCATCCGGCACCTCCTGCCCCCTGATCCAGCTCCCTAACAGGCTCAAAGAACGGCCTGAGAAGCGCATACACCCCTGCCTCCTTAACCAGCGGATTAACCAGCAGTGTTCCCTCCCCAGGGCCCGAACGACTAACGGCAAGCCAGCCCTGGAAGGCGCGGAGCATGGAGCAGGCGCCGAGGCCACCGTAGAGGTCCGTCACGGCGTGGACGCGCGGGGAGGCATCAAACGGATCGTATGAGCCCTCCCAGTCCCCGCGGAAGACGGCGTCGTACACACCACCTTTACCATACCCTTCCTCTTCCCAGCGCTCGACGCTCCCGCCGTCCTGGTGGGCACCCAGCGCGAACTGCGCGTCCCCCGGCTGCCGGATGCGCAGGCGGTCTGCGTACGCGAGCGGAGTGCGCAGGCTGATCGGGGCGCGGGCGTCCGAGACCCGCCACAGCGCCGCCATCAGCGCCGTCTGTGTCTGTAGCAGCCGCGGGTGGCCTCGTGCGCGGACCTGTGCTGGCGACCAGTAGAGTTCGAATACCTGCGGTTGGTCTTGTGGGAATCCTGCGCACCAAAGGTTAGAGAGGTACCTTAGTGATGGAGATGTAAGGACTGACTGACCTCTTGTGTGCGGGTTCTGTCTTGTATACTCCTCCACCTCGAACTTGTATGCTCTTGCCTCGTCCTCAGGGATGACACCCCTGATGACGGCAACGCCCCGCTTCTTAATGTCGTGCGCTTTGCTGTGGAGGTCTTCTTGGAGGTGGCTGAATCGTACCTCGGGCACGATGCTGGGCCCAGTGCGCGCGATCACTTCGTTCTCCTCTCTCAAAATCGCGAGCAGCCGCTTCCAACTAGCAATGAAGGCGTCTTCATGGCCATTTACGAGTCGCAGTTTGAGTTCGCGGAAGCGGTTTGGAAGAGCTTGGGCTTGTCTGCCAGAGAGTGAAGCAAAAGTGTCTGAAATATCCCCCTCGGCCTTGCCTTTAGGGAGACTGGCGTTCATGGCAGCCATGGAAGAGACACGACGCCTCCATTGCCATAACCGGCTCGGTGATAGAGCAGGACCGAGAAGGCCACATTTAGGACCGTGGAGTGTTCTGAGGAGCATGGCGAGGCTTGGGGTGATGGGAGAGAATTGGCAATGGAAGGGAAGGAATGATGCGGGGTGAGTGGTGAGTACAAATCGGCCTGGGAAGAGTAAGGTATACTTCGTAGACTCTTGTATCCTGGTGCTGACCGAGCTTTGCTGAGAGTTGGGAGCGTCAACCGTGTGAAACGATGGAACCACTGCGCTGCCAATCCAGGCCATCGTTACCCGGATCATGATCCATTGGACCTTGATATATTTGGCGAAGGGCGATGCGTGTCGGCCGTTCTCAGCGGTTCATCAGCCATTCAGCTTACCGCGAAGTCGGAAGTCCTACATTGGGAAGTTGTGGTACCTAACCATGTGAGACGTCATTTGTTGGACTTGGAGACCTGCTTGGGGTTTGCCAATCGCCTCCGGGGGCGGGCAAGGGGGCCAGGCAGTGTGCATTTACAGTTGCGTGGCTGCCCAAATGCTTGAATATGAGCAAGAGCCAATTACCTATGCGATACATTCACGTACGGGTGTCTATCAAAAGGTGCTTCGAGGTTCCGGTGTGCAAGACATGGAGTACCATACCGTATGCATGTACAACATCTGTCACGGGTTGTTGTTAAGAGGGGTAGTCGAGAGGATGATTTTTGCACATAAAATTTGGGCTGCACTAACAGACCTCGTCCCTCTCGAAGTACTCCGTAACGGAGCGAATCAATACTGTACCGAACACCGCGGAACGGAACGGAATAGCTGAAAAGGGAATGTCCGCTCCCGTCGTCAAAATCCCACTCCAGTGACTCCACCCTCTTCTATCCGATAACCCCATTGGGGCTGCTACGGAGCTACCGTTTTCGAAACACCAACAAACGAAGACACCATCGCAAGAGTTCATCTTCAAGACACCCAAAGTGGACTCAGAACCTCATTGACCACGGCCGCGAAGCTAGCGGTAAGCGCATTTTTAATTCTTCAATGGCAAGCCGAAAGAGTGGCAGCATTCAGGTCAAATTTGTGGGGCACGATGCTGCCGGTCTGCCTGTAAAGAGAAAACAAGTTCATCATGCCTGCACCCCTTGCAGGAAAAGAAAGGTATTCACCCGATAAAGCCATGGAACGCAGGCCATAGCAAAATCTGACTTTGGCTTTGCGGATAGAAACGCTGCGAACACGTCCTCGGCGAGGAGAGAATCGCCGTCAAAGATGCCGCCCAGAGCGAGGGCAACCCCCCAGCAGATGCCGACGCCTCTGATGCTGCCGCCCAGCTCCTATGCTTCTTCCATCAGGTTTCCGACAAGACGGTCAATCGAGCCGACGACAGTCAAGTCCGACCGCAATCTCAGCATCTGGAGACGTCGCCGCCGTTTCTTGGGGACCTCAATCCGGAGTCTATCCTCGTCGAAGCAACCATGGGCGCCCCCGTGAATCCCAGAACACCCGAGACAGACCAGCAGAGCCATATTATACAAGAAACACCGGGGATAGCATCTTCCGCTTCCCCTAATCTGCAGCAGCAGCTTCCCACTCCAAACAAAGAATCCACGGAGACTGAGCCTTCCGCTCTTGTCGGCGTCCTTGGCTCGTTTTGTTGGATGCCTGATGGAGAAGAGTCAAGAACCAAAGTCCGAGTTCAAGACACAACACACTTCGCCGCTCTAGCTCAGAGTTTTGCTAACCGTGTGCTCGCCGACAAGGTGATGCCCACTGGCGTGGAATGGAGAGCCTTGAGGGATCTGTATCTTACCAAGATCCAGCCAATCTTCCCCATATTTGAGGAGTCCACCCTCATTGACCTTCCCGCCGAGACCAACCTCCGTCAGCTCATTATGGCGGGTGTGTGTCTCGCCGCAGCAAGCGATCCGGAAGCTCGCGCCCTGTTGACGTTTGAGAAGGGACCAGCTCGGCGGGCTTCCGGCGACTCTGCCATTGAGGGCATCCTCGGACCTGCTTCTCGTGGTACTGGCGGCGAGAAACAGCCCACGCAGCCCAGCAACAGGGCTCCCAGGGCTCGTGTCATCGTTCTCTTCGAGGAGTACTCGCGGGAAATGGCCAAATTCATCAACCGTCGCCTCACAGAGCTGCGCGAGATGCATCAGCTCCCACTCATCTACGAGATCCAGGTTCTAGCGATAACCTGCCTCTACTGGCAGCCGGCAGATCCCAAGGAACGCTTTGAGCCGCTTTGTCTCTTTGCTAGACTTGTCAGCCTAACCCACACCCACGGCATCCATCTGGAACTCTTGTACAGGGCTCATCCGGATGGCCAGACCGCTGACAAGGACGCCGGGCGAAGGTTGTTCAAATGCTTGTACGCGCTAGATCGATTGCTCGCCACTTTCTCTGGCCGGCCTGTCATGTTCCACAACTACGACTTGATCAGACTCCCTGTTCCGGACGATAAAGATCCGCCCAGTTTCAGGCTGTTCATGTCGTTGATCCTTCTTCTAGACCAGGTTATGGAGTTGTACCGGCCGTACCCCAAGGTCACTTATGTTGATGTCCCGGTGTTTGAGCGCTTGGCTATTGAAGCCAAAGCGCAATGCGAGCCGGAAATCATTCTAGGTATGTACCGCTTCGAGAGTTCCTGCGACAATCCACCCTCTGCGACTTGGGCTGACAGTATGTGCGTAGTCACCCTCGAGGTCCTTTACCACGCCATCTGCGTCCTCTCGGTGCGGATGCCACGCCATCGTTTTAGGACTGCGCCCGAGTGCGACACCCTTCCGTGCCCAAGTTACCAACACCTGCCCCCGAGCGGTGTGAACGCTCGGAGATCCCACTCCGCCGACCGCATTCTCGACGTTATCCAAGATTACAAGCTCAGCCCAATGCCATTTGTTCCCTACGCACTCACGCTCTCACTCAGCGTAGCATATCGCAAATGGCGCTTCAGTCGACTGCCCATGTTCCGTACCAGAGGCGGGGCTGACTTTAAGAAGGTGCTGCCTGTCCTGCAGGAGATGGGCAAGATATGGAGCAGTGCCCGACTGAATGCTCAGCTTGGTCAAGCTGTCATGTTGAAACTTGATCGAAACGAGATCCTGCACAGGAAACGCCCAAAAGGTGCCGCCGAAGGTACTCGGGCCAAAAACAGTGAGCGAGGACAAGATGGCGAGCAGGAGGTGCCGCGCAACGGCAGGGATGGCAACAAAAGAGCCTCAGGTACCCATATTGATAACGAAAAGGAGCTCGCCGACGAGTCGAGTTCTCGCATGCCTACTGAACCAATAGCAGGGAACAGTATCCATGCAACAGCCAATAACGAGGCGACCGTGGAGCCGCAACCCGGTCTCGACGCGGCCGCTCCCTCAGCCACAACCGCCTCTCCAACAGACCAACCCCCGTTGCGGGCCGTCTGGAACCCTCCGGCAAACCCCGTCCCTTCCTTCATGAATGAAAGCGCTGCATCAGACGCCATACCAATACCAGGGCACTTCACTCATCCGACGAAAGTGGTCGATGGGTTTCCGTCCATGGGTGGCATGTCCGAGTATGACCTGAATTCCTTCCTCGACGACGACGACGCTCTGTTTCGATCTTGGGATCCTAAGTTTGCCCAGTCGGTAGACTTTTCGTTCAGCAGCAACTTGGATCCTGGCAACCCGTTCGCTTGGCCGGAATATTGTAACTACTCGCCCTGAGATGACAGGGAGGCGGCGGGCAAAGAACTCTTATACCCGACCGAGCCGAATGGCGGGATACTTCCTTACCGTCCCGGGAGACCGCCGGTCCGACCACTTCCGGCACTCCTGCCAAGTGCTGCATTCCTGAACTGAAAATGGATCGTGTACTCCCAACGCCGCAAAGGGTTCATGCTATAGTTTTTCAGAAAGTTGCAGGACACGCAATTGGCAACGATCCCCGAGAGAAAGTGGTCCCCAGATATACCAAGACCGGGCCAGTTTTGATCTTTGTACGATTCAAAGATCCAACTTCAGATTAGCCACAACTTACTTAGGCCTGCTTAGCTCCGTGTACATACATCGGTGAACAATGGGAGTTCTGGGAGAAATGGATAGGCGCTTAGAAGTACGTCAAGCCTCGACACAGGCGAAGATCCGGGACCAGCCAAGTCAGTAAATAGACATACAGGGCGGGAAACGTCGTCAAACGACACGGCAAGAAAATGTCACAGCACCGGAGGCATGGGAATTGGGGAGAATGGTGATATTATTGGTCTAAGTTGTCAGGAGGGATCGTCCAGTTCTGCATCACTGGCTCGAAAAACATCGTTCTGAACCTTGGGATGCCACAGGGCATCAGATAAAGCTGCCTGCAAAGTTCAGAACTCTCGCCTCCCTCCCGTTGCTTCTCCACCAAAAAAAAGTTGTTTTTCGTTTATTTTATATTCCCTGCGCCACCACCTGCCATCCAGCCGAGAAGCGCTCCGCTGTGCCTCCACAGACGTGGAGTTATGAGAACTTGACGCAGAGATATCGGCCGAGAAAAAGAACGGGTGATGCATTTATATACTTGTCGCAAGATCCGTCCGCTTCGACATAGGCGAGCAGACCGCATGCCGAGCTCGCTCCAAAAACAGGGGGTCGGGGTGGCATTCCGGAGCGCGGCCATGGCATCCGCCAGGCAAAGGCAGAAATAACAAGCACGCAAGACTGGCGCATCCCCGAGGTTCTTCCGTTTGTTCGTGGTTGTTGTTCCGTCGTGTTGTCCACCGACCCTGTCCTCGTGACTGCCCGCCCACCGCAGGCCAACGCCACCGTCATCTTCCGGCATACCATCCTTCTCTCCTCATCCACCGTCCTACCCGCCACCTTGCGCACCATGCCCACCTACCAGGTGATCAATCGTAGCGCGCTCCTTCTCCCTTGCGTCTGCCTCAACGCCTCCCATCATCCATGCAGCACACCACCACACGCCACTGTCTAGACGCCGTGCCGAACTCCTTTTTGATCCGCCAGACCCCATAACTCCCGGCTCGGTGGTATATCCCCGATCTTCTTACCCTTGTCCTCGGCATTTGCAGCAGCAGCTCCAAGCCGAAGGCGAAGCGAGCTGACAAACGCCTCCGCAGCCGGAACAAATTGTTGAAAAGGAAAGAAACACCCAACTCCCCTCTTTCCATCCAAACGCGCCAGCCCCCCCCCTGTAAAATAAAAGCACCCTTGGGAATCGCCTTGAACAGAAACCAGCCCAACTCCGTTCAGCGCCAGAAACTCCGCTTGTATGAACTTGCCTCCCTTCCCAACCACAAGCGAGGGAGAAGTCCACTGTTGAAAGCCGGCGCCCCGTCCGCCAAATCGCCTCTAGGAGACCTGTAACCATGCCAGAACCCAATCCTGCGTCAACGCGTGCATCTTTTCGTTTCCACATTTCGTAGTCGAGAGGGGAAAGGAAAAAAATTCAGAATCCCATGCATGCCTGACTCTTCCGCATCTTCCACTTGTTTCGGTAATGAACGTCGCCAGATAGTAGCTTCGTTGAGGAGATGGTGAAACAATGCAATGTGGAAATATTCGTCAGGGCTGCGTAATTCATTGTACAGAGAGAAAGACGGAACGGAGAGAATCAGCACATAGAGCAGCAGGAAACAGAGAGTCTATGCCCCGAACTCCCATCTGCGTCCTCCCTTTCCACTGCGGCGACGTTGATATCGGGGGCAGAGTCGGAATGTATCGTGACCGAGAGCGAGTAGGAAGACGCCGTGATTAGGGCAAAACTCGGCGCGGATATTAAGAAGATACAATCGGGAAAGTGGTTAAGATCTGCCTGTTGTGAGCGTCGACGAGGCGCTGGCCGTTTTATCGAGGTGCCATAAAGGGTCCTCCCTGGGGAGAGGGCCCTTGTCGAGGAGAACTTGCAAAGAAAAGGTCCGAGTCGAGATGGTTGGGGCACGGCTTATCGACAAAAGGAGCCATTGTGGTGAGACGGCAGGGTTAACAGATATGTACAATGCAAAAGGGGACACCAAAAAAGTAAATACCAGCCTCATGCCCATAGCGTTACTCTCTCATCGCAACGCCTAATATGTTAAGCATAAATGTTAGGCCTGCTGGACGGACGACTGGGGCTGGCCTTGGGCCTGTTGGCGACCGCCGCGTTGTCCACCATAACTCTGGCGTCCGCCCTGGCCCTGGAACCCTCGACCACGGCCTCCGCGGTGACCGCCCGACGGTTCACGGGTCCCTTGATAACCCCCACGACCCTGAGCAGAGGGGCCTGAGCCGTTTTGATGGTTTGGTTGCCCCTGCCAGTCTGTCGGGCCAGCTCCAACAGGCCGGGACTGTTGCGCAGGCGGCTGTCTCTGCACTGGTGGGTTCTGCAGCTGTTGTTGCTGTTGTTGCTGCTGATCCTGCTGCTGCTGGTGGTGCTGCTGTTGGTGCTGAGGAGCAGCAGGCTTGAAGTTCGAAATCGGCCGAGGAATAGTTTCTGGATTCTCGTACACGTAAAGACTCTTGTCGATGGTCGGAGGAATGGGCTGAATTTCGGTTCCCAAGTCACGTTCAATATTATACAAGTTGAACCGATCATCCCAGTTAATGAGGTTGATGGCCAGTCCCAGATGCCCGTACCGGCCGGAACGACCGATGCGGTGCAGGTAGGTCTCGGCATTCTTGGGGAAGTCAAAGTTGATGACAACGTTGACCGCTTGGATGTCAATACCACGTGTCAGCAGATCGGAACACACCAGGTTCCTGCACACGCCGTTCCGGAAGTCGTGGAAGACTCGGTTGCGCGCTTGCTGGGCCATCTTGGCGTGGCTGTAGAAACATGAGTATCCCAGCTCTGTGATCTTCTTGGCGAGAAGCTCGACACGGTTGGTCGAGTTGCAGAAGATGATGGACTGATTGATCTGGAGTTTGGAGAAGAGTGTATTAAGACAGTGAACCTTTTGCTTTTCTTCGACGTAGGCGTAGTACTGGGTAATGCCGCGCAGAGTGAGCTCATCCATGAGATTGATCTCGTAAGGGCTGACCATGTTCTTATCTGAGAAGTCCTTGACCGAGAGAGGGAAAGTTGCCGAGAAGAGCATAACCTGACGATCCTTTGGATGGAACCGGAGGAGTTGTTCGATGACAGGCGTGAATTCGACGGAGAGAAGTTTGTCCGCCTCGTCCATGATGAACATCGGGCATTCGCTCAGATCCGCCACCTGCTTGCTGGCGAGATCCAGAATTCTGCCCGGGGTACCGACCACAATATGGACGGGATCCTGCAGACGGACAATGTCATCGCGAAGACCAGTTCCGCCGGTGGTAACCATGACGTTGATACCGAGATGCTTCCCCAAGGTCTTGCAAACCTGGGATGTCTGCATGGCCAACTCGCGAGTGGGGACGAGGATGAGACATTGGATCTTGGACACTTTCGGGTTGATTTTCTCCAGGGCTGGGATCACGAAGGCTGCAGTTTTGCCAGTACCGTTTTTTGCGCGCGCAAGAATGTCGCGGCCGGTGAGAGCAGCCGGTATGCTCTCTTCCTGAATGGGTGAGGGTTTTTCGAAACCGGCCTCGAATATGCCCATGAGCAGATCCCGCTTGAGTCCGAAATCCTCAAATTCTAGTCCTTTGGTGTTCGTCACATCCTACAGGAGCTGCTGTATTAGCGGCATGATTAGACTCCTCAAACTACGTACTACTGACCTCGGTTTGTTGTCTCGTGTCCTTAGCAGGGAGTTTGAGACTTTGCTTCCAATCATCTGTGCTCGCGCCATCTCTGCGTCCGTTAGTCAAAGACTCTGACTAAAAAAGAAATGGCGGAAAACGAACTTCAAAGTAGAGGCCTTAAGCTGGTCGATGAGACTGTCTGTCATTGTGCCTGCTCGAGTTGGGATGGGGTATTATGGTGTGAAGTCGGAGGGAAGGACGCGAAGACGGGTTATAGGGGTAATGTTTCGCGGTCAAATGTCGGGATCGCGGGGTGTCTATTTTGCGGCACAGATTCGCTGTGGGATCGGTTGATGGAGACGTGGCGAGTCCTGTTGACTTCCCAGGCGGTGCTGGACGTGAACAGGTAGTCGCTGATGATGATCGGAGTGCGGCGCCGGATTGTTTCGCTCAATTTGTGGCTGTCGAGCTGACGGCCGAAGGCGAGGCGGTACCAGAGAGGGGAAGAGAGTAAAATCGGATTCGGTTTTTTTGGTTTTCGTGTCGTTTGGTCGTGGAAAGCGCCTCTATATCAGGATGCTTTCGTGCTTTGTTGTTGTGGATTGAGAAATTCTTCGTACAGCGATCTGGTTCTTAAGACGGCGGGGAAAGGGCGAAGCAGCTGGGCTGAACAATCTTTGAGGTGCGAGGTCGAAAAGCTCGGGCGGGATGCGTTTGACTGTCACGTGGGTGCCCCCGGCACTTTCCACCTCATCGCGAGTTTGAGGCTTTGAGCCTCGTGCCGCTTCCGCACAGACCATGAATCAGTCAGCAGTGGCTGCCAGTGGCTGCCTGCTCCACCAGTCACTGCCCCCACTTGATGTGGGCCCTTGACGTCCTACAACGGCCTATGCTTTCGTGACCTTGAATCGAGAATGACGGCCCCAAGCCGTGGGTTCTCCATTACAGTTCCCTTCACTGTTGTTATCTTGGGCAGGATGGTTTACCGCCTGCCGTCAAGTATGAGCGGTTTGAATTGGCAATGATGGTGCTCAAAACACCAGTAGCCGTGTTTCCGAGCAGTGCTGCGCTCCTGGTCGGTGGCACGGCGTCAGGAGCAGCCCCGCGAAGACCAAAGGCTCATCTGGCCGATATCCTCTCGCCGAGGTCCCAAGCAGCTCGCCGGAAACTGCGTGCATTTGCCTCTGCTGCCAATGGACGGACCTGGACGAAGGACAGCAAAAACTCGAGCCATACGCCAAGTTGGCCGTCGTCTGCGCATCCCACACCCTACGAGATCTTTGGGCTGGCACGGGATGGGCCATATGAGAAGGCACGATTTTTCCAGCTTGTGAAGCTCTACCATCCCGATCGCCGCCACCACACCTCGGGTGATGGTATCCCGCACCCGACGAAGCTCGAGCGCTACCGCCTTGTCGTGGCCGCCAACGAGATTCTGAGCAATCCCCACAAACGTCGCATGTACGACATATACGGCATTGGCTGGGTTAATGAATCTGACCCTCGGGCTCGTTATCGTGCGGCGGATCGAGCATGGCGGCAGGCACCGGGAAACGCGAGCATGAACGCCACCTGGGAAGATTGGGAGCGGTGGAGGCAGCAGCGCGACGGCAATGGTGAAAAGCAAGAGCCCATCTTTACATCGAACGGCGCTTTCGCGAGCATCATCCTGCTGTTCATGTTTATCGGTTCGTGGGGTCATATTACAAGGGCTGGCGCAAGGTCGATGCACGCGCTCGACATGCGGGAGGAGCGACACGCAGCTATCAGCAGGGACATGCGTCGTCGTCAAAGCGAGACGGCTGGACTTAACCGAGAGGGCAGGGTCCAAACCTTTCTACGACAGCGTGAGCTGGAAAATTGGACGCACGACCTGCCAGGCCAGGCAATATCTGACGGCAGCGGTCCTTCCAACAGATATATGCGACAGTCTGGTTAGGCGGCATCAGCCCTCCTACACGGAAATGGGACTGTTTGACAACTCGCCGTGCCTTAGAGCACCGAGTTGGCATCACGGAGCTGCAATACCGCATATCCGCCACATCATCAACATAGATCAAACCCATGGTGAGAGCGGAAACCACACTCGGGTCGATCCAGAGAATCTCAGGGCGATGTTCATCTTCGGATGGAATGAGAGCCAGGCCGCATGGGACACAGCGCTGGATGGCCCAATTGAGTATCCGAGCAATGCAGCAAGGAACCAATCTATCTTTCTTAGCTACCCCAAGCTCATAGGTTGGAAGCGCCAGCGACGCTTCGAACCACCCAGCACATCCCCGCTGCGCGCTGTGCGTTGGATAGGTAATTGCAGGACCTTATTATATCCTCATCTCCCCGCACCTCGGGCAACAAGACAATATGCTGGACTGTTAGCGGCCGGTAAACACCATGCAGAGCTGGAGGAGCAAGTAAATCGCCCGCTTAAATGGATTCTATGCCTCAGCAGCAGAGCAGGAGGCAAACCAGGATCCAGCAAAACAGGAGTAGTGAAGAAGTGAAGACTGGAAATGTTTAAAAGATTTATTTGGCACGAATGTGGGGCGAAGTCATCGACGCGCTTGGCAAAAAAATTGTTAGGCGCACGGATCAAGACTTCAAGTTCCCTCGGACGTTCTTCACCATCATTCTGAACAGTATCTGATCAAATTTGAGGATATCTGCGCTAGCTACGGAGTACAATCCATTCCTTCAGTCTTGACTTTCTCTCGACCTGCCATGTGCCTAGTGCCTACCCGCCTACGCTGCAAGTAATCTTCTCGAATATGCCATCTTCAACCCCCTTGTCCGCGACTCATTCCATACCAGGGCTGAAGTACGAAAGGTCGGTGACGCCAGCTTGTCTACGACCTTGAAGATATCGCTAGCCTCGAAATTGCTGAATAAGATATCCTGTGAAGTTCTTGATTGCCGCCTTCATCTCGTGGGGGCCTCAAGCTCGGTCTTGACAGTTTCGGCCTTGGTGCTCGCCTCGATAGATTCAGCCAGTTGCTCAAGTGCTTTAGCAGTCTTTGCCTTCGCCAGGGCACGAGCAATTTCCTTCCGCTTGCGCCTCTCTTCATACTCTGCGACAAGTTCCGCAACGGACTTGATGTACTCCCCTGTTGGCTTCGCATCTTCAATCTTCTTCCTCTTGTTGTGCCGGGCTAGCGGTCTAGTCAAGGATAGGGGTTTGAGAGGAGGCTTCCGACGACGCGTCTTTCGTTTCGAAGAGGTTCGAGGCGCGTTTGGGGGTCCCAGGATGGGATGTGGGCGATGCCCTCATTTTCCTGCCATGACTTGGTTGGATCGTAATAGTCGTCGGGTCCAAGAATGTCACTGAGATCAATGGGCGGCGGGACATCACTGGCATCATCGTTGAGATTTGGGTCGAGATCCGGGTCTCAATAGTCGTCGGTCACGTCCTCGACGCGTCGCATCTTGCATTACCTCTATGCCGGACACAGGAATCTAGCTGGGGAAAAAGTGACAAGAAAACAACATGCCGAGTTTTCCTCGCAGCACAGACGAGCCTGATCCAAGTCACCAATCGGACATCGGCCCCTGGTGAAATAGTTCCAGAAGAGGAAAAACGTATCCTCACCATTTTCCGGATGGTAAGTAGTGCCCCACACACTCTCCGTGCGGATACTATGGAGTGATGGACTACCTATACTGTACTATGTACAGTGTACTTATCATCCAAGGAGTCCCCCAACTACGACCAGTTGTCTTACCAAACATTGACTCGTGGTTTCTAAACCCTTGATGTGCATCTTCAAGCTCCAGTGACTACCTAGGTAACCATTTGTCTCCTCCATGTACCGTACGTTGACCTTTCTTTCTACAAGTTGCCATGCAAGTGAACAAACACCGGCT